CCTCTCTCTCTCTCTCTCTCTCTCTCTCTCTCTCTCTCTCTCTCTCTCTCTCTCTCCCTCGTTCATACAAGATCCCACGACCCAATCCCGGTCTAGTTCATTATACCACAGTAACATTCCATATCTTCAACACTAACCCGGTAACCAAAAATTAAAAGTGCTACTGGTCCCTCCAAAACGGCGACGAGACCGGCACCTGGGTCGACGCCCGTCTGACGCCGCTAGGCATCTCCCAAGCCGAAACAGCCAACCAGGCATGGAGAACGCAAATCGCGAAGAAAATCCCCTCCCCACAGGCCTACTACGTGAGCCCCCTGAACCGGTGCCTCGCGACCGCCAGCATCACCTTCAAGGGCCTAGGGCTACCGCATACGGAACCCTTCCAGCCGCTAATCAAAGAGGTGAGTGTGTGTGTCCAGCATTTCACCCCTGCTGTGGTATCATTTGAGCTATCTACGCCCACATCCCTCACGGGATGTATACTATTTCCACGCCAAGATTAGATTGATTGATTGACTAACTAACGAGGTCCGACTAACTAGCTTCTGCGCGAAACACTCGGTCTCCATACCTGTGACAGCCGTTCGAGCAAGACGGCCATCGCGCAGGAATACCCGCTGTACCGGTTCGAAGAAGACTTCGCGGAGGAAGATCCGCTGTACGACCCCGAGCTGCGCGAGTCGGACTCTGCGCGGGATGTCCGGCTCCGCGAGCTCTTGCTCGATGTGTTTGCGCATGATGCGAGTACGGTTGTGTCGTTGACGGCACATTCGGGGGCGATTACGAGTGTGTTGGCGGTGGTGGGGCATCGGCGGTTTGCGCTGATGACTGGGGCGGTTATTCCTGTGCTGGTTAGGGCGGAGAGGGTGGAGGGTCCGACTCCCCCTGTACAGGTTGAACCGCCGACGAGGGCGCCTGTGTGTCCTGGGAGTCGCATCTAGGGCTTGGTTGTGGGGGGGGTGTGGTTAGATCTATTCAATTAATGGGATGTGGTTGGTGAGAGAGCATGTTGATATATGTTGTTGTATATTTCAATATTGTACATGTGTTGAGCTCTGTCCACTACAGGCTCCTTGAGATGTTTGCTCCGCGTCATCCATCACGAATAGTCTGAACAGGGTGGGCCAAGAGAACAACCCAAAGAGACGAGGCGATGGTGAAACTGCGTGTAGATCCAAAGAAATGCCGCAAATAGAAAGAATAATGAACATGCGCTGATTTACCCGCCAGGTGGAGTGCTGACGGTCTAGAATAATACAAGAGACAAACGCCGAAGAAAACCCATCATTTGCCGAGACGAGGCCGGAGATAAACGTCGGGAGAAAAAAAGCTTACCAGCTGTAGTACTGGTTCTGAGCAGAGATCTTCCGGTCAGGCAGCTGTGTCCAGAGCTGAGTCTTGCGCTTGCGCTGCGACACAGCCTCACGGTCCTTCCACTCCCTGATCCGTGTCTTCTCCTCCTTCAGGACGACCGACAGAGATGTGTACGGCGGGCGGAGGAGGTTGATCTGGCCTCGGGCACGGTGGTCGTAATCAACGCCATATGGACCGCGGTTGACCCACGCCTGCTCGATGTAGATGGAGGTCGGGTCGGTGATAGTCTTACGCTCTCCGGACTTCAGAGTGATCGTGATGGGCTTGCGGATGGTCGCCTCGGCGGCACCAAGACCCATGCCGGAGCGGACGACGGCAACGTTCTTCGCATGCTTGAGGTGCTCGAGAACATCCTTGGCAGCCTTCTTCTTGCTGAAACGCATTTGCAGCATGGCTTCGTCAATGTTCTTTCCGGCGATCTGGCGGGCCAAGGGACCGAGCTTCTTGACGGAAGTCTTGAACCAGTGTGACTTGGAGACGGATTCGCGCTCCGTGCGCATGATCTGTTCGGTCTTTGACAGACGTCCTCGACGGCGAACCTCCCGGACGACCATCTTACGCTCCCAACGAATACGTGCCTCGGGACGAGGGTCTAACACCATCTGCATATTGTCGCGGTTGCGGTGTTCCACGCCAGTCTGAACCTCTTCTTCCTCGGCAGGTTCAGCCTCCTGTTTACGGGCAGCCGGTGTACGACCAGATGCAATCAGCTTGGGAGTTGCCTCGTCCTCCGCAAAAATCGAGTCCGCACTCAGGCTACCCTCTCGCTTCTGGGGGGCTGTCCTCCGGTGGACCGTGGGCTTTGCGTCGGACTTGCCGCCGAAGAAGAAGTTCTTGATGGACGACAAGGTGGAGGGCTTCGATTGGGGTTCTTTGTTTCCATTGTCACCATTTTCTTGGGCACGGCGAGGGACAGTATAGGTCAAGGTGCGGCGAGGGATGTAGGTGATGCCGGTCCGGGCTAGAAAGTCGGACCGATGAGAACTCGCCATTGATGGGATGGGGCCATCGGAAAAGAGCTATTGGATGACTTACCTGACCGAGCAAGATGCCCGTAAGGGTTGAAAGCACCAAGAGTGGCCATGGTGACGGACAACCAGCAAGACAGATGAGGCGGGTTGGGGGACGTGACTTCGGAGACCCGATGGAAAAAAGTGTCGAGACGCAAAATGCTTGGCTGCGGATGAGGTTCGTACCGTCCGCCGTAGACGCTCAGGTGCCTTTCGGGGGAGGAAGTGTCAAGCCACAGGATGTCGGGTGAGCCACACATGGAGGTCCGACGTTAAGCCGTCTTCCGAGGATAGGCTCTCATGTGGCTTCTGGAGGTCCATGCATCGCCATGAGGGCTTCCGCCAATCAGGCGGCACGCTCTCCTGTATCATTACCTCATACTCGGACAAGGATGTCGTTCTCGGGAGCTAGGAACTAAACCCTTTTCAGAGCAGCCCTATTCCCATAGTAACAAAAAAATAACAATCCTTTACCTTTTTCTTTACCTCTCCGTCTGTACATACAGTAGTGTCTTTCCAGCAATCCGCAGCCATGCATATACTATGAATATGAGATCGATCGTGATAGTATATGTCCCCTTTGAGCGATTTTCTGGATCTGGACTTTCTTGCGTAATTTCGATCGATTTATTTAACTAACCTACTAAGAGTTCCGTATGATAGATTCCTACTAGTCTCGTGTTCTAGCTCCGTTACACCGTCATCAGTCGGATCGACAAGAGTCTTAGTACTAGGGGCCAAGTTACAGATCACTGCAGACAATAAACCCCATCGTCCGATTGGAGGCACGGCGGTTTCTTTTCGTCATAAATATCAGGGCCAGTGAGGTTTGCTATTCCCATCGGCCCCGGTTGTAATAGTCGCCTTTTTTTTTCTTTTTCTTTTTCTTTTTATTTTTCGTTTTCTTTCTAGGTGTGGTGGTTCGAGTAGTTGGTAGTGATTTAGCTGGTAGACAAGAAATTCGTCGTGGTGGAGGGGAGGAGAGAGCGAAGAGAGGTTTACCGTACGGAGCAGTTTGCAGGTTGACCTGCTGCTGTGCTGTGCTGTTTGTTCTCTCTCTCAGCTATTTTTTTCTACATGCCGAGCTCTCTTCCCTTTCCCTCCTTCGACTGAAGACTCGAGTAGTCTCTTAACTCTACCCATCTCCACCGTGTGTCGATCTAGCGACTACCCTCATCGTCGTCTTTTCCTCGTTTTCCCGTGACTCTTTTTTTCTTTTTCTTCCCCTTTAGCCCTTCAGGGTACCGCGTGTTGCTCTCACGCTTTTTTATTTATTTATTGTATTTTATTTTTTTTTTACACCTGTAGGTTAATTGCGGCATTTCCCCATTCACTCTTCCGCCTTTTCATTCTTTGCATCGCGCCGCTCACCAGCTTGTTTCTTAGCTACTATCTCCCTTCTTATGGTCGGGGTGAATCGTTCCATCCTTCGATAGCTTGTTTCTAAACCCCCCTCCCTTTCGTCTCATTCTCTCTCCCCGGTCGTCTCACTATTCGACCCGAAGCGCCTCACTCTATCAATTCGTCAGCGCCCGGACCACCCGAGCTTCTGCTGTCAAAAGAAAGAGGACAAAGGCTTGAAACAAGAAAAGAAATTTATCCAAAAATTCTGATAACGGAAGAAGAAAGGGAAAAAAAAGAAAAGGAAAAAAAAAAAGGAAAAAAATTTTTCCCTTCATTCTCAATCGACTCTTAGCTCCTTCTTGTTTTGCGGAGCCTATTGTGGTTGAGTTTACCACCCCCCCCTTCGCAAGAAAGAAATTGTGACTGTCCGGTTCCAGAGTCTAGACAGGCTGTGGCCGGGGCAGGAATGGACTCGTTGATGAGGCGACTTCAGGCTATTCTTTGATTTGGTGACTTCTCTTTTTGTCAGGTTCTGGGTCCCACTTTCCCCAGTACCTCAGAAGTAACTGATTCTTCTTACCCGTCTTCAAATCCATATCAAATCCGATGATGGACATTAATTCACTCCTCTCGCCGCAGGAGTCTAATTCCCAATCGGGGCGGTCTTCGCCCTCGGCGGCCCCAACCTCTGCCAGTAACACATCCATCCCGTCCACGGGACCACCTCCAAAACCTCTGCGCAAGAATCGCGCCGGGCAAACCAGACAGGGCATGACCTCATCCCCGCTCGCGCAGCACGTTTTCGCGCCGCCGCATGTCTCAGAACCATCGCCGCCAGCGATAAGCCCGACAGTTGGTCCCAACGTGGGTAGTGGAAGCGGGACTCCTCCGGTGGCAGACTTACCTCCTCCTAGACAGCCGTCGACCCCTGGAATGGACACGCTCGCCGATTTGGCTTCCATGCAGCATCACCAACCTCAGCGCTCGAATGCCCCGCTTCTCAGAAGCACCGAATCGTACGAGTCCCAGCTCTCTCCCTCGACGATGTACCCCCATGTCAGTTCGGTCGCCCACAATACCCCGACGCCACGATCGTCATTCGATATAGCCATGTCGGATGGTCCCAGGGAGGCCGCCCGCAGAAACTATATGGATACATCGTTGGTTCCGAATGCACAGCGGTTGGCAACCGAGCTTTTTGCTCAAATCCAAGAAAACCCTCAGTCGTATGACGCGCATGTCAACTTCGTTCGACTACTCCATGCGGGATTCGTTAACCATGTATATCCACCGAATAACCCCGAGCTTCACGGCGACCCGCGGAACTATGACCTGCTCAAGGATATGCGGACCGCTCGCGAAGAGATGGACAAGCTCTTTGCCATGGGGGAAGACCTCTGGGCAGAGTGGATACAAGATGAAAGCATGCTCGCACAAACCGTGGATGAGCGCATTGCCGTCATGGAGCTCTGCCAACGGTCGGTGGAGGAAGAGTACGGCAGTACGAAGCTTTGGAGTATCTACGGGGAGTGGGTTCTTTATCTCTATAATTCTGCGCACGGTGAGGGTGGCCAACATCAGTGGACGGAAGAGGATCGCATGATCGGTCGCGAGGTTTTCTCCTGGCAGTCGGTTCTAGATGTCTGGCAGAGGGGCGCCGAAGCGACTCGGTGGAGGACTCCCGATAGCCATCTGGTCTGGGATCGGCTGCTCGACCTGCAGGTGCAGGACATCACCCGCAACCCAAGTCAGGAGAAAATTGGCCATGTGCGGAATCTATTCGACATCAGACTGCAAACCCCTCATGCTACCTGGGATCAGACTTTCCAGACGTTCTCGGGTTTTGTTTCCACCTATTATAACGCAAATTACGAAAATATCATGGCAGACACTGCAGGCCGATATGCAACGGCTTGCAAAGAACAGTACTCCGCTCGCGAAGAGTTTGAAATCCGACTCCGTAATGCCGCCGATTCGGGTGACCTCACCCAGGAGTGGACCATCTTCACCGAGTACATTGAGTGGGAAGTCAGCAGCAATCATCGCAACCGTCATTCCAACTTCGAGTTGGTCAACGCTGTCTACCAGCGTGCAGTGCTTCGATTTCCAACCGATGCCAACATGTGGGAGGACTTTGTCATGTTCCTCATCGATGAATCCATGCATGGTAATGCGAACACCACGACGATTTCTACCCTGGAACGGGCAACACGGCACTGCCCGTGTTCCGGTACCCTTTGGTCTCAGTATCTACTCAGCTCCGAACGGGAGGGACAGTCCTTCTCCAAGATTGCCGACATTAAACACAAGGCCACCAGCACTGGTCTCCTCGACGTGGCCGGCATGGAGGAGGTTCTCAAGGTACATACGGCCTGGTGCAGCTACCTCCGTCGGAGAGCCTTCATGTCAGACTCCACCGATGAAGATCTCGACGTCGCCGAGGTTGGCATCCGTTCGGCCATCGAAAGTGTTCAAGAGCTCGGGGAGAAGAAGTACGGTCGGTCTTATCAAGGCGACCCCTTGTTTCGCCTAGAGCGCATCTACATTCGTTACCTGAGTGAAAGTGGCAGCTGGGATAGTGCACGGGAAACCTTCAAGGGTCTGATGGGCCGGCGAGGCAACAGCTACGAGTTCTGGCTTACGTACTACGAATGGGAATTGATCTCATGGAGCAAATTCGTGCAAGGCGAAGCCACCGTTGATGCCGCGCGCCGGACCCCTAACCCCAGCTTTGCGACCGCCGTATTGAAACAAGCTATCAAGCGGACGGACCTGGATTGGCCCGAGAAAATCATGCAAACCTATATCGCACATTGTGAGGATTACGAGGACTCCGATGAATTGCAGCTGGCCATTTTGGAAACTAGGAAGGCCATGCGGGCCATCACGGCTCGGCGAGAACGTGACGCGAGAGAACTGGCCGCACAGCAATCACAACAAGCCACATCAACCGAACAAGCTACGCACCCTGAAAAGAGGAAGCGGGAGGAGGAGGAAGCTAATGTAAATGGGTTGCCTGCTAAAAAGGCTCGCGGGGAGGAGGAAACACCGACTGTGGAAGCAGAGCCAGCGGCCCTTCAGCGCGACCGGGAAAATGCGACGGTGGTGGTGAAGAACTTACCCCATCAGATTACCGAGCATAAAGTTCGACAATTCTTCCGTCATGTACGTTGTGCTTCTTGATCTTCCGTCTGGTAAACTTACAACTAATTGGTAGCATGGCAGTGCGGTACGATAAACAGCGTGAAGATGTTTCCGGGTGACGGGAACTCGGAGGTCGCGGTCATCGAGTTTAATTCAAGGGACGAAGCCCTTGTAGCGCAAACACGCGACCAGAAATCCCTGGATGATACTACCATCGAAGTGCAGATTGGGACATGTTCGACATTATTCGTCACCAACTTTCCCCCGGAGGCAGACGAAAATTACATTCGCGATCTGTTCCGTGAGGTGAGTGTGTTTACATCTCGCTTTTCGACCTCTTTGCTACCTGGCGTTACTGACATATGGCAGTATGGCGAGATCATCGATGTTCGCTTCCCATCTCTTAAATACAATACACATCGGCGCTTCTGTTACGTACAATTTAAGACTTCAGAGGCAGCGCTGAGGGCCACGGGGTTGGATGGGACTACGGTTGGCAAAGGCCTAACGCTCACGGCGAAGATCTCGGACCCTTCTCGGAAACAGGACCGGCATGGTCCTATCTACGAAGGACGGGAGATCCACGTGTCGAATGTAGATTTCAAGGCCAGTGAGCATGATCTCAAGGAGCTCTTCTCGAAGTATGGGACCGTGGAGTTGGTCCGTCTGCCTCGGAAGGTCGACGGTGGCAGCAAGGGCTTCGGTTATGTTGTCTTTTCCACTAAAGAGGAAGCCACGGCCGCTCTGGCTATGGACGGGCAAGAATATCGCTCGCGAACCCTCCACGTGAAGATTTCCGCTCCCCAGAGCACTAAGCGAAGCGCGACCACCATCGTATCTCAAGTTGGGAAATCTCAGTCCCCTGCAGCTGAAGTCAACGGGAGTAAAACATCAGCCGATGCGGACACCCCTAGCAGTGAACGGGCGGCCCGTAGCTTGGGACTGATGAATATTCCCGACACGGTGAACGACGCGCGCATTCGGGCCCTGGTGGAGCCGTACGGCAAATTGATTAAGATTGTCTTACGGCCCGATCACCAGGGGGCCATTGTGGAGTTTGCCGATGTCAATCATGCCGGTCGGGCTTCTTTAGAGCTCGAGGGCCAGGAGATAGCGCCGGGGCGTAAATTGCATGTGGGCACCGTACCGGAGATGTTAAAACAGTCAGCGGAGAATAAGGACGGTCGCGTACAACCGTCCAGCAAGCCGAAGGAGAAGCAAGGGGCATTCCTCCAGCCCACGGGGCCGATCAAGCGACCACCACAACCGGGTTCGCGGGGTGGCCGGCGAGGAGGTCTCGGGGTGAAACGCGCCGTCCCTCGTGGAGAGCACAACGGAGAGAAAACGATGACGACGACGACAATGATGACGACCGACAGCGCCCCCTCCGTGGAAGGGGGGAAGACGAAAAAGAGCAATGATGACTTCCGTGCGATGATCCAGCGGGGTCGCGAGGAGTGAGGTTTGGCGCAACGGATTGCATGGCAGGTTTGGCGTTCCTCCCCAGTCGCTTGCCCTTAATTTTTCTTTGTTTTTTCTTTTTCTATTTCCCTATGTTTCTTATGAAATGAATTGATTTGAGCTCTCTGTCACACATGTCCCCGGTGGGTGCCCTTTCACTTGCATTTGCCATGTTCGTTGTACAAGTACCATGATCAAGTTTTTCGACCTCTATTTTTGCAGCTGGATTTGCAGGTTGCCGTTGACTGTAGATTACTTTGATGTATCTTTGTCCTCTTTGTTCCTGCGGGCTCTTCCCTTTGCTTTCTTTATCCACCATTATTTTTTGATGTCACTACCTAGTTAGTAGTCGTTGCTAGATAACCCGGGAAGACGTATACCGTCTCCCATCGGAATGAATCCGCGAATCTCGTTCATGGCTGCCTTGCCGTTGGTTAGTAGTAGTCCTCCTATGGTACCTGGATCTTTACGATCACAGGCACCCACCATCGTTAGACTCCAGGAGGGTTGACTTCGTTAATTGCTTCCCGCGCACCCCCTCCTCAAGCTCACAGCAGACGTTCTCATGATAGGACACGCCATGTAACGTGACGTCAATGCGCATGTGTGTTGTACCTGATACCCATGATGCGACGAAGATGAATCCAGTCTACGACTACTAGTAGGGCCATTTACCGATTCGACAAATGTTTCGCGATAGTTAGTTAGAACGACCGGCTTTAGTCACGACATTTTTAGAACCATTACTGGCCAGAGCTTGGGCGAAATGACAAGACTACTAGTTGATGGGGACGAAGGAATTAGAGTTGATATCTTACCGTCCAAAGCGGGGGGCGCTTGGACCGATCCTGAGGGATTTTCTCGTATGCAATCCTCCGTATCAGACCTGGAAGAAACTCAACTGGTCAGGTATAAACGATCTTTGGTCGGTGAGTTATGATCGGACGGTGGATTTGAGGAAAGGGGGGGGGGGGGGGGGAAAGTGTCCTGTCCCGGTCGGGTGGACACTCCAGTCCATACAGACATATGTATGTACATCCACTCCATACCATCATACCATCCAGTGGTATGGTATGGGTGTATGTACCGCACAACGGGCGACGATCGTGAGTCCAAGTCACCTGCTCCTCCATACTTACCTTTTTTATTTTTTTTTTATCGATCCAAGGAACAAAAAATTCTTACGGTTCCTTTGTGATTTTTCGTTCTTCTCTTCTCGTGACCGTCTAGCTTTAAATCAGTAATTGCCGTTGAATGCTGGAGGTCTCTAGAATCAAATTCCGAGACTCGACGGTGTACAGATTGACCCATTGAATTGATTGCAAACAAGCTGCAAGCTCCGCGTGGTATCACCTGGCCTGGGGAGATACCTCAGGCAGGAACCCAACTTAATCGCTCTCCCTCGCCCATTGAACCCAGAAGAACTTCTTCTCCCTCCCTCTCCTTCTCTCCCTCCATGACACATTAAAATTATCCCACTAACAGTACTAACCTTTATCCCCCGGGTTGGAACGTCTCTACATTTTCTGAGTGGATTAAATTTCCCGTAATCCACCCTCGAGACCTGTCATTTTATCTCCCCGATCGGCCGGTCGCCGCGATCGCTCAAGTCTTACTCCCTCTGTCGTCATTCATATCAGATATTATATATACTCCCTTCCCCCACGATGGATTTCCATCTAGTGCCGCGCGGCGAGGACCGAAACTACACGGGCTTTCTAACGAAGACCATTGTCTACATATCATCATTGATTGTCTTTCTAGCTTGTAAGTGCTCCCGTCGCAACCGCACGGGTATGACGACAGACTGACGGGGAAGGCAGCATTCGGCTTAACCATATCGTCCATTGTGGTCCCAAAATGGGTCAGTTATCAGAACGATCAGGTGCGGATCCACTCCTACTCTCTCTCTCTCTCCTTGTCTTCTTGCCTTGATCAGCATGCGTGCTCACCCTTCATCCATCTAGATCTGGTATTCATACGGCCTCCATCGGCGCTGTTCCTCAGTCACCGATGCCTGCGTTAGTTTCCCCCAGCAGGACGATTGTAGTGGCCGGGGCCGCTATTTCTGTTCTATGTGGCGCTCCGTGGGCTTCCTTATGTCCTTTGCCGTCGTTCTGGAGGGCATGAGTATTGTCGCCTACCTGATCATATTGTCCGGTGGGAAGCGATTGCGGGAATCCGGGTGGAAGGTTCTCAGTTTGCTGATCGTGTTATCGGCCGTCGTACAGGCGGCGAGCATGTCGATTGTGGTAGGTTTTGGTCGATCTGGCCGGCTGAAAAATGTGATGCGTGCTAAATATTTCTGCTTCAGGCCTATTTATATGACCATGACACGCGGTTTTTCCCCGGTTGGAGACTGGACGAGTCCTGGGTGTATTGCATCCTCAGCTGGTGCATTAGCTTGCTCTGTGCGGCGGCCCTGATTGTTGCCGGTCGCGTGCTGCCGTCAGAAGGTGGCTATGAATTGATTCCTGACCATTCTTAATTCAGTTCTTATGGAGACGATTTGTCAACGGTGGCACGATTCGATATACGTTTACGGTGGTGCATCTGTGATTCGCGGCTCTGCATCTTTCTGCAGCTTTCCTTCTTTTCCCTATTTCTGCATTCTTTTTAGCCCGGTGGTTTTTCGCTCTTTTTGAATGTACATACAGACTAGATGTCTACGAGTAATGTTTATGACACGTGAGTTTCTGTCCAAAGGATGACACCGACTGACTTCAACATCACACTGTCCAGGGCTGACTAAAGAACAGGAATGCAACCTGACGAGTTGTTCTAATCCATCTCACCTTCAGAATGAAAGAAAGAGAAAAAAAAAGTCCAATCAATCTCAACCATGAACCCTCTTCACAGCCCCCTTCCCATTAACCCTAGAACCCTTCTTCCCATTTCCATTCCCTCTACCTGCATCCCTTCTCACACCCCGCCTCTTCGTCGCCGGAGCAAGACCCAAGACTGAAACGTTGGTAAAAGCTCAATATCCGGAAACACGATCCGACGAGCCGGCACGCCCCGTCCGCGCAGAGAATCCATATCCTCGCGCACCCGACGGACCAGGCCGCGCAAATCCGCAAAAGACTTATCCCGACCAACCTCCCTCAGAAGCCAGCCGGGCACAGGCGAAGCCACAATGGTTGGTTTCCTGCGCCTGCCACATTGGTCCTGCACGCCATGGCCCCCCACAGGAGTAAACCCAGAAGAGGCAGACGACGAGCCCGAACCAGACGAGGGCGTAGTAGTAGGATCCGACTCGTCCCCGTCTTCACCTTCCCTATAATCCTTACAACAACCCCCAGAATACCGATCCCCAGCACCAGTAGTAGTAGCCGCGGCAGAAATAACCTCCTCTCCTCCATCCTCCCCTTTCAACCTCTGCACCTCTCTCTTCCTCAACACAACCTCCCACCCGGACACTCCACCCCACCTCTCCATGCGCCCAAGCACAACCATCAACAACTCGCACTGCGTCACCGGCCACTCGACCCGATACCGCGCGCGCTGGTAATGCTGTCGACAGTAATGCACCCACACATGGTCCGGGAACCGCTTCGTGGCGTACTTATTGCGGCCGAAGATATGGGAGATGACTTTCCGGCGCGGGTTGTTGGTTTTCCCGTCGTCGGTTGCAGGGCATGGGGTTGTGAATTCGCAGGGTGGACGAGGCTGTTCGTCTTGGGTTTCTTTTTGGTACATTTTTCTTTTTATTCCTCCTTCTTCTTTTTCTTTTTGTCTGTTAAGGGGTAGGTTCTCTTTAGTTGTTTTGTTTTTTTTTTTTTGGATGGATGGCTTTGTTGGGGGGATATGGTATGATGGGAGGGCTCTTTCTTTTTACGCTTATATATGGGGTTTTATGTGGCGAATTGTTCGCGAGGGTGGTGTTTTCATTGGAGAGGGGAAGTGATATGCTGGTGCCTGGTTGGGAGGGATAGGATTTCTGGTGGGTGGGTTGGAGACAAAGGGGGTTCTTCTTTTTCTTCACTGTTGGGTTGTTGGTCTTGGTGAGGGTTTGTAGATTCCTGGATGCGATAGGCGGTACCGTGGTCACGGCGAATCAGAGATGAATGGACCAAGAATTCAGTCGTTAAGTAATCCAATGCAATGCGAATCGTCTTTTATATTCGTGATCATGCTCCAACTCATATCACCCTAACCAGTGCCAAATATCAATCTGCGTATGTATAGATATCTCTGTGTATAAACCTGAACGCCGCCCGAAAAAAAAAAGAATCCCAGAAACCACATTCGTACATTTTTCATTCTCCATGCAGTCTTAGAGGCCAAATCGAAAAGGAAAAAAAAAGATAAAAAGAAAAGTTCATCAAGTCATAGATCGAAATCAGGCAGCGTAGCCTGCAGGCAGTCTGGGGACGTATCTCCTGAGTGCCCGTTGGTTGTTGTATCCCACAGACCCAATGTCGATGGTATTCAACTCTCGACTCAGCGCATCCATTCCCTGGTTACCGCCCGTCACGGGATAGCCCTGGGGAGTACCACCCATCACCGGGTAGTTCTGGTTCATCGGTTGGGCAATCGGCACCTTGGCTGGAATGGGCGGGCCGGCGTTGACCGGGGCGTACAAGCTCGACGGGGAGTGACCACGTGGAGATGGGGAGACAGACGCTCGGTGAGAGGGGGCTGCGTTCGGGGAACTCATTGTCCGCCCGTGTCTGTATGGAGAGAGTGCGCGACCACGGTTCTCCCCGGGCGAGGTTCGAACAGCAGGATCCGCCAAGTATGATTGGGGACGTCTATATCCTCCGTCCACCACGGGCCGGGACCGTGGTGCAAACTCCCGAACAGGCGGTGGCGCCGGGCTCCTCTTTCGTGGGACATTCTTGAAACGGACCACCACCCTGCTTTCTTGGTCTTCCGTTCTGGTTCCGGGGCCCAAGTATCGGTCGGGAGGTGGTCAGAGGGATCGATCTCTCGACCATCATCACCGATGATCGGGCCTGGGTCCCGCGCGGCTTCCCTCTCAGACCGTCGGGCGGCGTCCATCGCCTCGGCTGGTGTTTCATATGCCGGAGCTGGGTCCCGGAGGACCGCCGCGCGAGCTGCGTTGGGATTAAAGGCATCAAACGAATCCGGCGAGAAGGGGATTTGAGAAGCTTCCCGGTCGCCGAGGGGTGGTGGCCGGGGACTGACCGATTTCCGGCGAGGGACAAGACGGGTCTCCGATGAATGGGCTGATCCTCTACTGATCAGTGAACGGCGGTCGTCCATGATCGGCGGGGAAGGTTCTACGGGGTAAGGCACGATCATGGACGTCGGCTCGGGTGGCATGATGATCTCTTCGATCAGCTCACTGCGTCTTCGGCTCTGGCGCCGTTCATGTTCGGCGCGGTCCGCCTCGGCCTCTGCAATGGCGGGATCAAACCCGGCGACTAGACTGGGGGGCACGGACGGGCCGTTCGTATGTGGGGGGAGGTCCTGCATCCGGCCCCCGTCGGACTGCATGTGCGACGGCTGCGACATGTTGATTTCTTGGGAGGTCCGAGGGGTTGCAAACTCTGGCGAGTAAGCTTGGTACGAAGGGGTTGGTGACGGTACTAACTGCTGACTGGTCTGCACCAGGCCGGATCGATGAACCGGAGGCGGAGGTGGAGGGCCCTCCTCTTCTTCGTCTTCCACTCGGGGCTGCATTGTTGCATACTCTGCCGGCAGGCTTTCACGACTACTAGGAGGGCGGATGGGGCTGGTGTCTTTGAGCAAGGAGTTGCTATGCGGGCGATAACGAGGTTCCGTTTCCACCGGGTGGGATCCATATTCTACCTGAGGTTCACGGATACTCGCCGGGGAGCGTTGCCTATACCGGGAGACTTGCTGTACCTGCGCTATTTCGTTGGGCACATACTGCTCCGGGGAAGCGAATGCATAATGGTTGCTGTGGTGGCTGCTCGGACGCGGTGGTGTTGCCTCTGACATGGGCGCATACATCTCCGGTCCTGATCGACTTGTTGGCCGGTCATGCCTAGAAGTGCGAAAGTCCGGGGGCGGTGCATTGCCATATCCAGACCGCGGTCGTGCGTGAGAGCGTGTATCATACGGGTCTGGTCTTTCACGGTATGAATGGTACGATACTTCCTGCGGATGACGCCTAGGTGGAGGTGGAGCCTGATGGGGTGGATTACTCCAGTCTCGGTGGAGATCATCAGGAGTTTCATAGGCTCTCCCAGGGTGCGAGGCTGTCCCCGGTGGTGGACCATGTGCTACCGCATCAAAGGGGACCTCGGAAGGCCCTGAATGTCGTGACGAGTGGCGTGTATATTCCACTGGGGACGGCGAAGAGTGAGAGTAGTCATGGGTTGGGAGGGGTGGAGTGGAATGAGTGTGCTCCGGAGTCGGTCGAGGGGGTGATTGGGCCGGTACTGGAGGAGCTGAAGCAATCTTCTCTGGAAGCGCAGGACGTGCCGGAGCTGACCCCGGAGGACCACTGGGCAGTGGACGTCGCTTGACTTCTTTCAATTGTCGGGGTCCTGATAGAGACGAAGAGGAGCTGATTGGTGCTGGACTCGATCTTGAGCTTAAGCTTGAGCTTGAGGCGCTCGGTTTACCGTGGACGTTGACCTTCTCCACCGCTTGTGTACGTCGTTCAATCACCGCCTCATCTTCTGGTCTAGTGTCGTAGTAAGTCATCTCGATACGGACTTCACCGGCATACTTCCCACGAAATTGCAATGGATGCCAGTGATCACTCTGGCTACCTCCGGGGATGATCAAGTCTTTCAGATCAATCCAGGTCTCCCCGATGAGGTCGGTTCTTTTGTCGTCGTTGAATATGGTTACCTTGAGTCTAAAATAGTCTGGTGACTCATGTACGGTAAATCGAAGTTCTTGATCCCTAGAAAATGTCAACATGCGCTGGTCGAGACCATGTAGTTCGGAAGAGAAGGGAGAGACGAGACTGCGATCAAACAAAGGAAATTTTTGGCGCCTACCATCTCGGCGTTTGGCCTCCTCGCAAGTCAGTGTCGGTTTTCTTAGCTTCTTTCCCTAAACGAGCCGCACAATAGGGATTTTGCTTCCCCATTGTCTTTCTGTTGGGAAGGTTCTTCGCTCGGTCCACGACGAGAACCAGAGTTCCAATAGCAGGCCCATCGACGGACATATCTGCGTAGATGCCGGCAGCATGGTTGATCATGGACAACCGGGGCGGTTTGGAGGCCATGTTATAATGACTGTCAATTGACAAGTCGCCCGAGAGAAACGGAGGGCAATTAATCAACGGAATGCGATATCACTGGAAGCCACCGCATTCGTCGCAACGAAAACAATCTGCGGACTTGGGGGACAAGTGTAGTAGTACAATAATACAAGGGATCTATGCAACCAACGGCCACAATAACAAATAGAAGGAATACCAATGGTGCCCGTCCACACCGGAGTCTTTTTTTTTTCTTTACGACAGGGGCTTAGCACCTGCAGGGGGGGAGTTGATAAACCAAAGACACAAAGGCCCGATCGAGGAGGAAGAGGAAAGGATGAGATGAAGATGAAGAAAGGGAGGGGAAACCAAACAAGACTTGTCGATAAGCCGATCTGAGCGATATGGAAAGTCAGTCTGGTACCAATCTTACGTTATTACGCCCGATGAGCCGGCTGATTGGTTGCAGGGCGGGCGCATGGGTCAGGTGCTGGGTATTGGGGTGGCTGGGGGTGGCTGGGAATTCATCCTGATTAGTGGAGATCTTGTGTTCCTGCATGCAAAAGCTGTGGAAGCTGAACGACCTTCCCCAGTTCGGCCTAGCGCCCTGTATTTATCGGTCGCTGTTTCCGATACAACTGGATTTTCCATCGTTTCAGAGTTTTTGACGCAACAGGCCTCACACTTGTATTTGCATCGTATATCCAGCCACGCTCAATTTCACCAGAACATGAATCCACTTTGCAAACCAAATTCCTTGTCATCGTCATCGTCAGGCGCACACTTAGCGCCCGAGCCGTCGTGAGACCATACAGCATTCCTGCCGAGTGTCGCAGTGCCCACAGCAGGTCTCCACCTTGAAATGTGGGCTGCATACCTTAATACATGGACTCCGTTTTCTGGCTTCACAGCACGACGAGCGATGCATGCTCTCCTCCACCTCGTGAGCTGTCACTGTAGGTCTCACAGCTCAACGACTCCATCTCGAATCCGGTCACCCAGATTGATCAGCCCGGTATCTCAATCGCGGTGGGAAATGCGCTCGGAAATCCGTGTCCGCTCAGAGTTGAAATTCGGTTGCCTGTCTCAGCTGCATACGTCTACTAATTTCCACAGCCACGATATCAGGCAGTGATGTTTTGAACGATGATCGCACTCCACTCAATGCTATAATTAAACTTCTACGGGAGAATCCCGGCAAGTTTAGTCGGTCTGACAGAAGGTAAACTTGCCTTGTCGTCCGCCAACATAGACGGCAGAGTTTATGGGGTCGGTGGGAAAGTGTATGCAACAACCTGCATCATGTCAGACAACAATATATTTCCGGAGTCTCCTCCGTGATGCTCGGCCCCCATCACCAACTCGGTGTCTATTGTCCGTGAACAGGCGGTCGGGAATATCACACCACATACCTCGCTGGACGGTCTGGAACAAATATCTCAACGAGATTATCTCCCTGTCCACGTGGGTCGCCGCATTAGCTGAACTCTGGATGTTGACCGCATTCTTGGAATCTGGCCTGGAATGTGCAAGTCCGCGGCTTCGGAATTGACCTGACCGTTGGAAATGCATCATTCAACACTTTAAATAGCCTCCTTACATCGAATTGGGGATGTGGTTTAGTGGTATAATGTTCGCTTAGCATGTGAAAGGTCCGGGGTTCAATTCCCCGCATCTCCATATTTTTTTCTCCCCTAATCTTTCCAACCGCCTCGAGGGATACTTTCTGAGTGTCGCTACGCCTCTTTTTTCCTGGGTTGGTTTGCGCCAAAGTATGTCTTCTGGTGGTCACATCTAGGCCCCGTGTTGTTCCTCGACCCCGCATACATGCTCATTCCAAAGCTCAAATCACTTATTAAGGCACCGGTTTCGATTTGTGACAGGTCCTCTGGGACCATGGAACACCATCCGTATTTTAGTGGAGACACCGTGCAGAATATAATGTTCCCGAATGAGAACCATGAACGGCACCATACCTCCAAGATATGAAAGGAGAAGCCAAAAGAAAAAAAAGTCTCCATTCTTCAAAGAACCCCAATACCCACGTTAAGCATCACCGACCTATCTCCGTAAGTTCTTCAGCATGGCTCTTTTCCCACGGATGTTGGGTTTCCACAGCCCGAATGAGCGCCTCATACCGCGGGCTACGCGGCGTGATCGTAACCTTGTATGGCATCGGGTGACTGATCGCACTCGCTTGATATTCGGCCCGTAGGTTAACCTCCTTGCCATTTTGAGTCGGCTTAGTGATGGCAAAGGCTGCCACCGATTGAGCAATGGAGATATACAGGTTCGCATCGGCTAGTGTGCGGCCTGGACATACACGGCGGCCGAACCCGAAGACAAAGTAATACGGATTGGCCTCTGGGTCGTGTCCTTCGTAGCTTAGGAAGCGTTCTGGCTTAAAGGCGTGAGGATCTGGGTAGGTACTGGGGTCGTGCGTAAAAGCCCTGAATGAAGTTAGTGGAAATGGCTGACTATGCGCAACTTGATTTGTCTCCCAAGAACAGCTTGTCGTGTTCAATTGGGTACTCATTTGAACAAAAGGATTGAGGCGATGTTTATAGAGTAGGTACCGCAAACAGGACGAGACGCACCAGACATTCGGGACCATCAGAGTCCCTTTTGGAAATGTATACCCTTCATACCTGTCGTCCTGAACGGAAGTGTGCGCGGTACCCATTGGGAGCACTGGATGCCACCGCAGGATTTCTTTGACCATGGCATTGATATACGGGAGATTCTCACGATCCTGGAAACTAGGTAGACGGTCTGGCCCTACCACACGATCAATTTCCGCTTGCGCCTTCCGTTGGGCCTCGGGGAAGAGCGCCATCACAAGGAAGAAACTAGACATGGCGGATACAGTCTGGCATCAGTCAGCGTTAGTTGGCGTGCAATGGGGCAGGAATATATACATACCGTATCAGATCCCCCACCATAGAGCGACGCAGCAGCCCACTTTATCACCGTTTCTTCATACGACCCGGACCCAGGCTGGTTCTTATTATTCTGGAGTAACCCGGCGACAAAAGAGGGCTCAACGTCTTGCTGAGCCAGTTTATGTTTCACAAATGCATAGGGCACATCGCTGAAAGCCGCAACACTCTTTCGGAATTGCTTGGCCATTCGTGCAAACTGAGCCCCCGGAAACCATGTAGGTACGTGTTTCACTGATATATAAGTCAACTCCAGCATTGCCAAGAGATGTTACGCCCGTCCACTTACAGATGGGAATAAAATCCACTGCCCACGTCCCGGGAAGAATCGCCAACCCAAAAGTAGCCATAGCATCATCAGCGAGGTCAACGAGGGGGTCATGCCCATGTGGCTCAATCGTATAGCCATATGCGACTTTTAAAACAATAGCACCGGCCTCTCTAGCGGCTTTGTCAGTAGACATACTTATGACCTCGGACAGGACAGCGCAAACCATACTTGCGTATATGCTGAAGGAGGTTATCCGGGTCCTCCAGCACGCGAAGTAGGAACCGACGAACCTCAAGACTCTGCACCGCGTTGAATCGAGACACAGCCGTCCTCGACCCAATCTGATGGCCCAAGGCCTTCCGCATGTCCTTAAACGAAGGATCGGAATATTCCAAGGTGCCTAGAATCTGACCCCAACCGGCCCTAGGCGGGTGTCAGCCATTGCCGCGTGCAAGGATGTCAGTCAAGATGAAGGCAAACATTTTACCGAAGTTCCAACTAGGTCTGGAGGACCAGATGGAAGAGCGCTTTTCGAGAATTTCTCGTGCGAAGCGGGCGTCATTGAGGATGACGATATTGTCGCTGAATATGCTCAATGAGCTAATTGGACCTGTTCAATGTTACTATCTGCCCGAAGAGGGCGGGCATTTACATGTGTCGCATCTACCGTAGAGGTCTTTGTGCTTCAGCCAGTATTCCCAATCACGCACATCGTGGGATGGCAGGTCCGTTAGGTTGCCGATTATTGGTTTTCGGGGAGGACCTGGTGGTAAGACTCCCAGAGACTGCTTTTTGCCCAAGAGAGATCGAACGAGATATAACCCAACAAGGCTAACTGTGAGAAGTAGAAGTATAGAGACCATGGTGGGTGTACAGCCTTTTGTCCGGCTGCTTTCTGCTGTGTATAGAGCTTCGCGCAGACAAGAAGGAAAACGAGAATATCCCCGGTCGCGGAGTAAGGCCAGAAAAGAGTCTTATTAGGTTATCGAAGAAAGAGACTTATGGGGCAGAAAACCGGTTCATGGGCGTACTTTTTCTGGTACGAAGTGTCATGGACGCATTGATCATTTTATGCTATGAGCGAATCATCTTTGGGTCTTGTCGTATATCCAATGAACGCGTGTCATTCATAATTATGCGAAGTTTAAGATGCATCAGTTCGTCCTGATCTTCAGCTTATCCATGTGTCATTGGCTCACAATACCAGCACTTATTCTGCAGGATCCGAGATGAAGTGACACATCACATCACTTACATCTCTGCAGCTGTAAGGGATGCAGCTCTCGCGAGCCTGAATGAACCACCTGCAGACCAGACTCACTTCTCTAGTTCTGGACCTTTGAATTGGCAAACAATTGGAGGAGTTTCCCACGCGGGTTACTTTACTCTTTTCTGCTCCTCCCATGGTGGTTTGGATATGCACATATAGGTCTAGTTATGATCCTGTCTCGCGAAGCGACTACCCAACATAGCGATAGTAGAACGGTCGTCTAAAATCAACCACAGCACAGATATGCAACCGAATATACTCCCATATCCACCCTAGACTACATATCCAAGGTATGTTTATGACCCTGCGCATTGACAGCATCAATTCTAGCCGCCTCCCCAATAAGACACTGATAGGACGCGAACTTGCGAGCCGAGACCCCGGCAGCGAAGATCTCATCCAACTCCTCCAGGGAGCGACCCTTCATCTCGGGGATAAAGAAGTAGAAGAAGACGACACAGGCCAGGTTGGACGCAGCCCAGATATAGCCGTAGCGGGCGCCCTACATACCAAATCCGTGTGAGTTTCGAGCCCGAGAAACAGCGAACCCAGGAAGGAGACAGACAAACTCACCCAATTCAAATGCTCCGGGTTAATAAAGTACGGCGTACAGAAGTTCACCAACCAAGCCAGCAGGTAGCCCAGCGACGTGGCCGTGCCGACGGTCCACGCGCGCAGTCTCGAGCTGACCAGCTCCGTCGCGACGGGGTAGCTCGCGGCACCCACGCAGCCGTTGTAAAAGAACATGAACGGCGCCGTGAAGGCTACCAGGGCCTGACCGGTAGGGAGAGAGTTGGAGCTCACGGTGGCGGCGATGGCGCTTCCGAGTTGGCAGAGTCCGCAGGCGATGGCGCCCAGCATGAGGATTGCGCGCCGGCCGAGCCAGTTGCGGATGGCGTACATGCCGATGTTGACGCCCAGGAAGCCGAAGCAGGTGTTCATGATCGAGAACTCGAAGGCTTTGGTGATCCCGGAGACGGTGAAGAAGTACGTTTGGTAGCCGATGAGGAACCACACGCCGGACGCCGATTGGCAGCCGATCATGCAGTAGCAGAGGATTGTGCGGCGGAGATCGATCCCTGTTTCCGTTTGTGTATGTAAGGGTGTCTGTTTCTTTCGAGATGGATGGAAGGGAATGAATGGTGCAACTCACCCCGGAACATGTCTAACGCTGTAACGGTACCCTGCTCGCGTCTTTCTTCCTCGACGCCCTTGATCATCTCCGCCCATTCTAGTTCTAGAAGAGATGGGGCCGTCTCGTCGCCACTTTCGTCACCGCTGGATGATGCACGGAGGGTAGCGTAGCTGGTGCCGCGAAGCTGTTCAAGCGCTTGTCTCGCCGCTGGGACTTTACCCCGATGGAGAAGCCACCGCGGACTCTCGGGGACGAAGAACAACGCCATGAAGAGAAACGTGGGGACGATGTATAGACAGGCCAAGGGAATCCGATATGAAAGGCGGTCCATCCTCTCCTTCGTCTTGTTGTCCACCGCAGCGCCAAGAATACTACCGATGTTCACCCAGTACGCGAACAGAGCAACCATCACGCCGCGCAGATGGGCCGGTGATGCCTCTGCAGTGTAGATGTTGGAGAATGTAACCAGGAACCCATTCGCGAATCCTAGCAGTAGTCGTCCAACGTATAGCGGTCCTGCCGAAGGGGCGCCTATTTGGATGGCGCATGCGATGGCGTTGACGATGCACGCGAGCCACAGGGCATGCCGGCGGCCTAGGTAGGCTGAGAAGAGGCCTGCTACCAGAGAAGAGACGAAGGAGCCCAGGGTGAGGAGCGATGTTATCAGCTGTTGTACTGTGCTCTACGTGCATTGGGTGTCTGTTAGCTTGTGTGTGTGTGCGTTGCTCTGAAAGAGGAGATATAATCTCACGTCAATTGCATATCCTGTATCAGAGCCTGGATCTGCGTATCCGAATACTTTGAGGAAGCCCGGCATAGCCTGGAGAGATCCAATGGCAGCCAGGTCAAATCCATATTGCAGGTTGGCCATCGAGACCAGAGAGCAGAGGAACAGGCATTTTCGGTTCTGCCATAACGTTGTCGTGGATATACTAAGCTCTGCCATGATGGTTCCGAAAGGCAAGCCTTTACTATATTTACGAGAGAGAATTGCAATATCAGCCACGGTCTCCAGGCCAGAGGGCAGCGCCACTTCCTTTTCAAGGTGTATCCCCACATATCGATTCGTAGCTCCGGCTATAAAAGACTCTGCCGAGAACTTGAAAGTCATTCACCAGTGTCTGACTCCGAGGTCCCCGGCGATAGCGGTCTTTTGGGATGCCCATGACTCAGTCGGATCATTTATCGAGATCACGCAAATGTCCTTCTTCTCAGAGATCGGCTGGAATTACCCCACAAGCCCCGCAAATGCGCTCCGAACATCTGCCGTAGCGGGTGGAATAGATTAGGGTTGATCGACAGATAGGAGGATATCAATCAAGCAAGGGCATTATGTTAACCTGAACATAGACACATTGTGATGTGGCTGATCATGGTGTCTTTTTTCTATGACTGCAAATCCCAACACACAACAGAGAAGCAAGATAACGACAGCTCTGGGACTACAATTACTGCCCATAACGTGAGGCTATACCAATCCTTTCCCCAGACTTCTGCAAGCAGCGCAGGATGTGGGGTACGTTCAGCAGTAGCCGGATTCCCGCCACATGTGCCGCCACTTTGGAGTCCCAATCGCCATGTCGATTTCACAACGAGCTTAGACGGCGATACCCCGCAGGGGACTGTCATCATGATCGCAGTATATACTCTTATCCGAAGGGGGTGAAGTGGGGAACCGCAAGTATATGTACATCGCTAGTTGAAGTAGCTACCATAGTAGCTCCCGATTCCCATATCGCCGCCGAAGAACCATGATAGTCGAAAGGATTGAGCAACTCTTTGCTCTCATCCAGGGTGAGTACATGCTCAGTCATCCTGGATGGAGCAAAGTAACTCTCGCCACAGTATTACCTCTGGTAATGGCAATTCTGGGGCTGTTCTTGATCGTAGACTATGGATATATGATATATCTCCATTTGCAAATGGCAAGCTCCTGCCAGCATCAGATGAACAGCCCAATAGCTGCGCTAACACTTGACTACAGCCACCAGGCCCATTTCCGCTACCCTTAATCGGAAATACACATCTCCTACCGGACCAAAAGCCATGGATCTACTTTGAAAAACTGGCTAGGGAATACAACACACCCATGATCACGTTCTGGACCGGCCGGCGACCAACAATCTGGATCTGCGACGCCTGGGCAGCCAACGAGCTCCTCAACAAGCGAGCTGCGATCTATGCCTCCCGCCCACGGATGGTCGTCTTTAGCGAGCTCGGCGCTGGCCAGTCTAACATGGTCAACATGTACTATGGAGATCGGTGGCGGCTGCACAGGAAACTAACACATATGGGCGTCGGGCTACAGCAAGTGCGCAACTACCGCGGGTTCCAGAACGATGAGAGCAAGGTCGTTGCTTTGGACCTCTTGCACGAACCCAAGGAGTATGTGAGCCATTTCGACAGGTACGCGACGAGTGTAGTCTCAATCATCGGGTTTGGCCGACGTGTGTCCGCATATACGGACCCGATTATCACGGAGGTGATTGCGGTGATGCAGCGGGCGGCGGAGCTGAATGTGCCGGGGAAGTCGTTTCCCATGTTGATGGAATCGTTTCCTTGTTAGTCTTCTATCAGACGTTATAACATCCGTGCCGTCAGTTAACCACGGTCTAGTTCTCGCCAGATTCCCTAACTGGATGGCGCCCTGGAAGCACGGGTTGGGCAATGGACAAGGACGCGGCAGGCCCTTTTTCTACGCGCTAGCAGAAGAGGTCGCTAGTGATCCAGAGGCAAGGCACTGCTACGCACGGAAACTCTTTGAAGAAGCGCCGAAGCATAACCTTACCAAAATGGAGATCTCCTCGCTCTCGGGCAATCTGTTCGGGGCAGGCAGCGACACATCTAGCTCCACGCTTGTCACTTTTGTTCTCGCTTGTTGTGCCTTCCCGGAGACGCTTCCTAGGGTATGGGAAGAGCTTGACCGGGTGGTGGGGCCACACCGGAGTCCGACGTTCGAGGATGAACCTGACCTGCCCTATGTGAAGGCATTCGTGAAAGAGGTGCTGCGGTGGAGGTCGGTCGCTATTATCGGGGGGCAGCCGCATGCGCCGATTCAGGATGATCGCTTCAAGGTACCATGCACGTCCTTAAATCTCCTGTTCACTCATGTCTCGATGTGCTGATACGGTGGACCTCCCTTAGGGCTGGCTGATCCCTAGACATACCTGGGTACAGGGGAATGTGTGGGCAATCCACCATCACGAACGAGAATTCCCCGAGCCTGACCGCTTCAATCCGGATCGATATATTGAAGGAAGCCCTGTTCGTCGTCCATTCCCCGTCGAAAAGGGCTACATGACATTTGGCTGGGGACGGCGAGTGTGCAGCGGCCAGGGTCTAGCGGAGCAGGGGACGTTCATCACCATTGCGCGATTGCTATGGGGGTTCGAATTTCGAAAGGCGCTGGACCAGCACGGAAATGAAATCCCCGTGGATATCTTTGATTATACGTAAGTGCTTCTGACAATCTCTCGTTCTTGACTACTAGTATGTCATGGCTAAGTGTCCGTGTATCATAGCAATGGCCTTAACATGCGGCCCAACCCGTTTGACTGCCGGATTACTCCTCGCAGCCAGGAGATCCGTTCCACCATTCAACGAGAGGGTTTGCAGGCACTGCAGGACCTCTCTCAGTACGATGGCGAGACAAAATACCGCATGAGCACGTATTACCATTCCGAGAACCTGTGACGGGTATGATGACAAGTACTTAGAGAGATGAGGCTGAGGGAAACATTCGAAGCCTGCGTAGTGGTTATACACCAATATAGACTACGGCCTGCTAGGCCTGACGTTTTGTCATCACGCACAATGGCTACCAAATCAAACCATGCTTGCCGGCTGGCCTAGACAAAGTAGAGTCACCCTGGAAAAGGCATAATTGCTTCTAATAGATAACTAGCTACAAAGACAGCTTTCAACCGGACTCAGCCGCTTACTCTAGCCTCGTTTCCTAGAAATAGAATCAAGATTCCGCAGGGATGACGCATTATACGGTTCCTTCCACCAACTGATAGTTTCGGAATACTAATAGAATCAACGAGGAGCTTTTACAATTAGATACCAGAGCTCTATAGCTGTGACTCATATCGCGTTCATCGGTACGTAGCGTACAGAAGATAAGAAAAGCAAGGGTCTACTTTGTAACAAGCGCTACCAATGACAATTGCAAAGCCTTTGAGGTATCACCAAGTGCTTGTGACAGAGATATCACCTTAAATTAGACGAAGGGTCACAGTCTCTTTAGCAAACCGTTACCTGGTGCATTAACCTAGGCTGGTAAAATAGTGTTTCTGATCGCTATTAGTCTTATTGCATGATACTTCTAGCTGTGAGAAGAACAGATTTGAATCCGCCACATTACTTGCTCCCGATTTAACCAAGAATAGCCCTACTTGACCGTTTGAAAGAGACAACGTAAGGGGGCAAATGTAGACAGTGGAGTTTGCGAAAAAAGACCAATTGGATAAACGCTGAACCCACTTGGAGAGCGTTAGCCCTATAGATTCGCTGATTCTTGGACCCTAATCAGCAAGGTATGACAGTAATGCCAGTGTGTATGCAGATCATCCGTAGCTTAGACAAGGGGCACAAGAATAGTAAGTAATTAAAAGAAAGCGAACCGCTAATTTTTCTTTGAGTTATTTCCTCTACGCTCCTCACCAACGTGCATGTTCTGTCGAGCTTGGCTCAGCCACGCCAGTCATAAATCTCTTACAAACCCCCCCTTAAACGCACTGACTGTCTTCCCTACACTATTCTCCTGTTGAATTGTTCCAAACAGCCACGGGATAACCATTGCTATTAGCTACTTGACTCGAGCCCTCGATATACCCTACCTCACAATATGGGCCAACAGGCTTCTACTCCCCAACAGGGAACAAAAATCCAAGTCATCGGGGCTGGTCTCTCTCGGACGGGGACGGCATCCTTTAGCAGCGCTCTTAATATCCTTCTGGAAGGACCGGTCTATCATGGTGGGACACAGGTGACGATGGGGCCGCCAAAGGAAATCAAGTCATGGATCAAAATCATGCGGAACTGCATGACAGGAGTGCCACAGGACCGAGAGAAAGCGCTCACTCTTCTGGAGGAGACATTAGACGGATATGCTGCTATCACCGATGTGCCCGGCTCACAACTTGTCCCAGAACTTCTTGAACTGTACCCTGATGCCATGGTCATCTGTACCGTTCGAGACCCGGAAGCCTGGTTCAAGAGTTATATGCAGGTCCGCGACCTGGCGACGTTATGGTTCCTTCCAGCCGTCCTCCTACCGCTTCCTGGGATGAGACATTTCGTTGAGTGGATTTCCTTATTTCCAAAACAGCGACGTCGGTTATACGGGGAGCCAGAATCGATGGCGGATATTTATCACCGTCATATTGCCTGGTTAAAGGAAGTTGTGCCCCAGGATCGTCTGGTGTTTTTTGATGTGAGGGAGGGTTGGGAGCCGCTGTGCAAGGTACTTGGCAAGGATGTGCCAAAGGACATCGCATTCCCGCGCATCAATGATGGCAAAGCCATGGATGCGGTGGCGAGATCTCATATCAAGCGTGGCCTTACTCGATGGGCTGCTTTCCTTTCGGTGGTTGGTGTTATCACTGCATGGTCCGTTCTACGTTGAGCAAGAATTGAGAACCATGAGTTAGGGGCGACACACTCAGGTTGGCTGTCTTCAGCTGGGGGCGGTTTGTGCCCAGGTGCATAAGGCAGGTTTGCTGGAAGAGTATGATTGCCGTGCGGGCCGTTGGGCCGGCGTTGCATGACGCTTGGTTTCAATATTTGAGCGCTAGTTTGAGTATACTAGTCCCTATGTAGAGAATCCCTTCCAACTGCGGTGTACTCCGGCACTGTAACTGTACCTAAATGTCTGGGACATGCATGATGCAGCTCTGCAAGGATGTGCTTGTGGTAAAGAGCGGTCTAACTCGGCGCAAGCGATCTCGGACCGCCCCATACAACTTCTACATGGCCGTGCCATGGGCGTTGCTTGCAAGACTTACAGACACGGATGGCGTTTGCATTGGGTTCGTGGACACCGGCCGAGTCGACGCCATTGGCCTGCGTACGGTCGGTTTCCTGCTGAATATTTTGACCCCCGTATGATGCAATGCTGGCAGATTTGGGGGTACGGCACAGAGGATCGCCCGCTATCAGGTTGTGGCTCCGATTGACTGGCAGTCGGGCACGTCAGTGGATGATCTCCAGGAGGATAATCAACACAAGGGTCCCTACCTCGAATTAACAGTGATCTGACCGTTATCTTACCTGGTACAACAGGTTTGCCCGGGGTCACGTATTCTCCAGGGTCTGGCAGCGAGTCCGCATGTGGGTCGCATCCACACAAGTGCAGTACTTCGGACATCTTGCGAGCACCCCGTCGAAAGTCACAACCCATTACGGCGACCTAGCAGAGGAGTGACATCTAACCCTATGAATGAGACGCCCCTTTGCAACGGGATAGATGGACATCTGGCTTCAAGATGGGCTAGCGAGCGCTTGATCACGAACGCGGTGGAGCACCTGGGACTGCCTATCTGCATCCATCGTCCTCTTCAGGCAGAGCACATAAATCCTTCACCTTCTGAACTCGAGATAGACTTGCAAGATCTCATCTTCAAGCTCGAAAGTGTCCCTACGACGGGAGGGTTGAGAGGTAGCTTTGCATTGATGCCCCTGGCCAAGATCTCAGATGCAGTGGTGGCTGCAGTGGTGTGCAAGCTGGAATCGAAAGAAATAATCCAGGAACACGTCGTAGAGATCATTATCCGCGAGGAGCACTGGATTGGGAGCGCCAAGAAGTAGATTTTACCTGGTGGATCGCGGGGCAGGATACTGGCTTGGAGGAAGAAGAGGAGGGGATTTTTGTCTCCACTACATAGTGAGGAAGATTGCTAGTTCTTAAAGCGCACGACGTGACGGATGTCTACGGAGGACGTGGATCCAGGATCCTTTCATTGGGAAAGTAGCAATTACATATTTCCAATAGCCATAATCCCTGGACGCAAACAAATGTGCAGTTAGCATTAATCTATCTTAAGTACGAGTCCCATTTCTTTATTCATGTCCAAGTGTGAGTCGTCACCGAGTCCCTGGTGCGAAGCGGGCACCTCTTTCTCGCGCAGCCATGGTCACCAAATGTCTGGTGGTGGTGCCGTAACACTCCCCTTGGTACTAATAGACAAGCTTCCCTATCTGGAAGGGACATCATCGGAATAGGAACAGAAGAGATGGATTCTACTGTTGGCTGAGTGCTGGTAATGACTACTTAGTCCCCTCCATGGCTGATCCGTACACGATGATCAGCCTGCATAGAAGGGAGGACGATAGATCTCTAGGTAACTTATCAGAAATTGGCGAGATGTAGGGTGGTTTTACTAGGGTATTTGCGAGTAAGAGTTTACCTATGTCTCCAATGTCCAGGGCCAAGTTCTCTGCTAGTCTTCAGCATACAGACCTCTCCTGGAGAAGGTCGCATAACCATTGACATTGAATATGCTTCAGATGCAGAAGTGATAGCCTTTTCATTTGACTATTCCCCAGTCTTTTTATAATATCAGTAGTCTTAATAAGAATATCCTTGCTGCCATGGGATGCAGATGCAGCATTCGCAATCTGCAACACACAAGAGCTCTCAGCGAATGAAGTAGCCAACCATGACTCCCCAAAGTAAGCAATGGCCTGCAATACATCTTTCGGCTGTCTTAAAAGATTGTCTCAGGGCTATGTCTCTATTTTTATTGGCCATGCCATATGTCTGTCCGAATAGTACCCGCATCAAGTACGGAGCCGATCGACAAGTATGCTGCCTTTTCCCTGGGTAGAGGATAATCATTTAACATCTTTTCAATCCAGTCAAGTTTTGCTTTTCTTCTCAAGGGCTCCAAGGGCGAGCGATTCTTCGTGTCCGGAATGTCAATCATCTGATCTATCCATTTCTCTGATATGTGACGATGCAGGGGTACCGAACAGCTCCGAGACTGATTCTCCTCTCGTATGGATATCACACCCTCATTGTACCCCAATCGCACGCTAGTCATAATAAACCCAATTGAAGATCCGGGTCCCACAGTCTGTGCGGCGGGAAATACCAGCCCCTGCCCGAAATGGGCCACTCGGCCCTGGCAGTCGTATAAAGGGGGCAACAGGTACTTGTTTATCCTACCACTATCCCTAACCCTCAAATAATAATTCTCATTTCTCGTCCCCTCGGGTTCCGGCATCCTCGCTCAACTCAACATGAAGTTTTCATTCCTGTCCCTCCTTTCGGTCGCGGCCAGTGTAGCTGTTGCCGCTCCTACTGAGGCAGCGAAAGACTGGAATATCCCGGTAAGATACCTTTTGGGATCAGTCGTGAAGACTTGTCTCGTTACTGACTGGAATCCCCGTAGTTCAACAATCGCGCTCTGGGCCCCCTCCAGCCCAACCCCTTCCAGGGCCTGAAGTACGAAGGCGACTGGCAAGTGGGCCGGTATTCCGTTCAAGCCTCGAACGTCAAGACCACCAGCGGAAACAAGCTCTTGTTCTACCCAATGACCAACATCACCGACGTCAAGGTCCGGGGCTATGTCAGTGTGGACGGGGGGGAGGATAAATTCAGCGGAAAGTCCGTGAAACTCGGCTGCAGCGTCAAGCAAGGAAACACAAAACAGACGGTTCCGTGTGAGATTCAGATCACCGGAGCTACCCTAGCGAGCATGAAGTACGTTTCGGTTCAGTATACCAACACAAATGCGTTGCAGTCCGTTGACCTTGACGAACTGTATCTTGTGGATTCCTTGTTCTTCCGCATTAAGTCGGCTGGGAAGAACAAGGAATTCACGGAGAACATCACACTTCTTCTGGATGACTTCCAGTATACTATTGAGGCGCTCTGAGCCAGTTGACTACATACGGTGGATGGCTCAAGCTAGTGAAATCTCTAGGTAGTTCTTAATGAATGTCATGCTTTTGCTATTTCTCTCCGGTGCTCCAACTTCATACAGCGGCTTGTGTATATTGCTGAGGCGCGTTATTGTTGTAGTTTCCATTTCCCGAAAGAATTTAAGGGATGGGAGAGCGTGTGTACATTTGCTTAAATCGGTCTTGTTGTACGGTAAACTCCTAGAGTCCGACCAAACAGGCTTTCCCCCCCTCTCGCGTCGTCACTGATCCAACAGTAGACTTTATCTCTCTAAAAAAGTACTCGGACAATTGCTCGTTATTAACTTGACGATGTCCGGGAGCAGCTCGTGGCTGTGACCTCTGAGTCCTCCACAACATTGTGGACATCATTGCGGCTCCATACACCTGCCGCTTGTCCTCGGCTATCACCCAGCTGTAGAATATTTCTCCACCGTGTAATACCAACCCGTAGGTACATCATATGCGCTTTGAACTTTCTAATACTTCTTTCTGGTAAAAGCTTGCCCTTCACATGTGACCTAATGACCTTGGGAAATCACGGTCTTTGAGATATAGCAAAATGCAAGACAGGATATACGGCAAGACTAATAAATCTCGGTATGAAAGATATGTATATGATTCTACGCCCCCGAGCTGTTTGCCGACGTGGACCGAAGAAGCCTACCAGGAGCTATACTGCTTATATATGAGATTGGCAGCAAGTGGTCAGCGGCATTTTAGGCTATACGTTTTTTGTCAGTCTATTGGACTATACGATGATCGGCACTGCTAGTGTGAGGGGCACTGCCCACCTTAGATAGGACGAAGATTATGCCGATCATATTGCCAATAGTGCTGGACAGAGGCCAGACCATTTGCTCTCATAGTGTGGGGATTCAGGGCTATGCGGCAAAGGCTCCAGACTAATAGCTTGCCGTACGCAGACGACAACACTATTCTATCATATCTGCAAGCAATCCGCGACGAGGCCGAGTTTATATAGAAAAACAGACCTGCTGGGTCAATTCCACGAAGCTGAATCTAGATGAAATCATGGCTTACAAGACCCTAATCTCAAGGGGACCACTATCTTGTAACAATTCCGGAAGCCACAAAAGGAGGACCGCGATACCACTACATGCTACTGGTCCCATGTATGTAATTCTCGGTCCAAGTCCTCAAAGAACTCATCGAGCTCAGTCTGTCTCGCGAAGTAACGATAGAAGGGGAAGGTAACAGTAGATCCTAGATCTACAATCAGGTACCCTCTGTAATTTTCCTTCTTGACATCGCGAGGCAGGATTTGGCCGCGTTTTGGAACCGAGAAATTCGAAATGATTAGCCGGAATCTTTCGTCTTGACAGCTCGGCGGCTCATCGGCGATGAAGTCCTTCACGATACCCCAGCGGGCCTTATGCCAACGCCAGTCATTTCTCACCCGTCCACTTGCCCCCCGAAGCTGCTGAACCTGGGAGTCAGTTAGACACATCCATCCATGACACTGCACCGCCCAGTGGCCATTTTCATGCAGGTCGCAGAGACGAGAAAATGCACGTGATTCCAATCCAATAGGGCTGATGAAAGCGATGGTCTTTTCGTGATATGGCCGCGGGTCCTCGTAATCATAGAACTGCGTGTCCCATTATTAAAGACCGCCGAAGAGAAGATAGTCACGTAGGCCTACCAACTTCAGGCAAAGTTCTCGTTCATTGTGTTTGAACCGGAAAACAAAGCCTTGTTCGCTCTTGTCGATGAAGACGGGTTTGGTAATCGCATCTTTATAACCAACAAATCGTTTTAACTTAGGGCTTTTGCTCACTACTTCGTCAACGTTGGTAATAGAGGAGTCATTGGTAGCTTTGACATCCAAAATGTCTTCTGACATGAATAGACGGAGGAAAAGTCGGTACTGGTGGTCCCGTTGGACTTCATCCATCAAGAAAGCTTAAGAACAGTATTGTAAGTGCAGCTCTTTTGTAGGAGTCGTTGGGACAAGAATATCGCCTCTGAACTAGTCTTTGACTGCCCAGGTAAAGCGAAGGCGTTTAATATCCTGCGACTCGGGGACGAGTTTGGTCGCACACCGTAATCCTCTTTGATCCTTAGGTGATGTGAGTGAGCGCAATTGCCATTGACATTTCCTCCCTCGGTCACGTGGTGCAACATATCCCTACATTCCTCGAGAGCAAGTGTGCAGATTCTCTACCTCAGAAAAAGAGAAAAGAAAAGAAAAAAAAAAAGATGGATGACAGGTTTGTTCGGCACAGGGTCAAGGAGGTACGATGGCACGAACCCGACATCTTGCTTAATAGTAAAGCACATGCAAAACACACAACTTGGAATAACTATGTATGTCATTGATTTAGTCAGCCAATCTCATACAATCACCATTCTATCTCTACTTCTTGGTGGATCGAGATCCATCACTGGTTGACAGATGTAGCCTTACATACACTTCTCAGCTAACGAGCTATGCACAAGTCTTGCTATTTCTCTGAATGATAAAGATTCTTATTATGTCTGCCCCGATCGGAGAGCATGGACCAGCTGTTGAGCCAATTTTGCTTGCAGCTGGGGATCAGCATCAATGATGAAAACAATACGCCTTTTGGTCCTGCCTTGCCCGGAAAGTCCAGTCGTCGTGTGCGCGGCTGTAGCAACCATGGGGCTGTGGTCCCGGTACCCTCCTGCATCAGAGTCTGAACCAGCAAGATATTAGCCAAGATCTGAACTAGTGCCCTCTACATATATGGATAGCAGCGCCATTCAAGACGACTCACTGGCATATGGGGCTAGACTGTGCATCAGCAAGGATATAAATATAGCACAGTACCTCCGGCTCTTTGCTTTCGGGCAAAAGGAAACTATCGAACCTCTTTAGCTACCAGCGATGCAATCAATGCCTGCATGGAATGGGCGACAATAACCGGGTACGTTTCCAAATTTCGCACCATGTTGATCCAAGTGGATCTGGCTTTCCTTTCCTGTCATGGCGAGATGGTGTCACCCTTGGTTTGTGCATCATTAGTGCTTGTTTGCTGATTACAAGGCGATCTTCGAATATCAAACAGGTGAGGAACATCATGCATGTCCCTGTCAGGATAAATAACGCATCTAGTCTCGGACCGACTCTAAGCGGCAATTTGGCGTCTACTTGTACTTGGCACATGCCCCTGCGTCAGGCTAAAGATGCAAGACTGCTTATGTTCCCATCGATGCTACGTCTCTGCGGGTTTGATGAAACATGCTGACACATGTTATAATTTGAGGTGACAAATTTAGTTAGGGTTATGCATATCAACCTGGGATGGTATTTCGGTGCGGGCCCAATCATGATCTCACGGTCACTCCCCAGATGTGTATAACAGGGCCATTCTACCCAAAAGAATGATACGGATACCATATCCTACGACCCTCTAACTATTATGGAATCAATAACGGCTGAGCAATTGCAAAGCCTACTCCAAGGCCCTGCTGGCGTACCGCCACCGGGTGTGGAGCCCAACTTTGTGTACCCTCCAAATCAACGTATATCTGGACAGGCGGCTATACTAATCTGCGGCATCACCGCCTCCATTGCTTTGTCCATGCGCATCTATACCAGGGTATTTGTTATCCGCAAGACCAGCATGTCTGATTGTAAGAATGCGCCGAAGTACACCGTTGCCGCTGCTAACCTGACCCCATAGACTCCATTATTGTGGCCTGGGTAGAGACTCCCTGTCTTCATTCAAAGACACAGACCAAACTAACTTTTGTAGGGGATTTATGTGAGCTTATGCGTCATCTCTTGGCTGGGAAACGATGCTGGACCCGGGGTTGACATGTGGAATTTGCGACTAAAGGATTTTAGAAGAATGCAATACGTTGGTTTCTTGCCTGAACCCCAATTCACTTTTCGATATTAACAGTTGGTGCAGTGGTTTCACGCAGGTTCGATAATATATGGTATACCCATATTCTTCATAAAAGCGTCCATCCTTCTACAGATCGTGGACATCTTTGTGCCTACTAGAAGGAACGACCCTATGTTCTGGACCTGCCATGCGCTGATATGGGTTAATTTGGTTTACTATCTGATTGGTAGTATCCTGGAAATTTTCGCCTGCCGTCCACTCAACAAGGCCTGGGATCCTCTCATTACACATGGGTCCTGCATGGACATGTTTCTTCTCAACTGCATTGCTAGCTCAGTGAATGCTGCCTCGGATATGATTATCCTTGTCTTACCGCAAACACGAATCTGGAGACTGCAAATGCCGCTGCGCAAAAAGCTTGCTGCATCGACAGTCTTTTTATTCAGTATAATGTAACGCAATGGTTTCGTTTCTTTCTTTCCAACTCGCAACCCTTCATTAATTGTGACTAATACGTCAGTAGTGCTTGTACTTCTTCTATCGTTAGACTAGCATTCTCCGTGCGTCTAATGCAAAACAAGGATAACATATCCTATTACAGCTGGCTAGTGGGATTTTGGCCACAACCAGAGATATCATCAGGAATTGTTGTTGCCTGTCTTCCAGTGTTGCCCAGGCTTTTCAACAGCCTGAAACAGGGCTGCCGTATAGCCCAGATGAACAAATCTCTTCAAGGGTTTCTTTCCTCATTATCATTCGGGAACCAAACCGGTGCAGGAACCAGCAGAATCATAGCCAGTGAGACAACTATCACGTCTTGCCAAGTTGTCCAGACCAAGGACAGCCACTCAGATGACTATCCACTTATCTCTTTGACGGATGGCAGGCATACGGTGTAGCTTATGGTTTGGCTCCAGTATTATGTATTTTTATGATTGAAGCGGAACACATATCAGACGAAGACAGCTATTGGCTGAGATAGTCACTGCAACTTAATCTCTCGTGCGAATAAAATGATGGTGACCGAGCGTAGTCACTTCTTGCTAGTACGGCCTTGGTAGCTTCAATCCACTTTTCACGACAATCATCGGAGAAAAAAACATAATATTCCAAGTATGTGCCCACCGACACCTGTGCTTATAGTTCTCTTGATTAATTGCGCTGCCTTTGCTGCTGCAACTGGATTTCGAGAACCTGGGACCTCGTGCCCAGTCATAAACGCAGCCTTCTTTGTTGCTTTTGTTGCCAATTTGGCTTAGCATTTAGGGATAACGGCGATCATTTCGCCGCCAAATATGGCCAACAATCCTTATCCCGGGCTTAATAGGGGTTCTATAAGTCTATCACTACCCAACGAGTGGTAACTAGCCCTCTTTGTTGCTTTTCCAAGAAGATCGTCCCTCCCTGTTCGCTTCCTTACTTTGATCATTCTCCTCTCACCATCTTTGTGCATGATCCGCTTGGCATATTTCTGGAGTTGAGTGTACCTCCCTTTCTCTTCTCACCTTCACCTACCAGGGAAACAGAGACAGATTAATTGGTTATAAGTTGAAATATTTACGTGCCTGCCTTCGATCCAACGATTCTTATGTTCGTTTCTTCACCGTCACACTATGGACGGCTCCAATATTCCTACCGAGGCCAAGTCTGCAATTGTCTGCGGTGCGAGCGGCACTATCAAGGACCAATATATCACAGGCCTTAGGTTGCATCTAATCACTGCCTCGTAAGGGAATTCTCCGCAAACCTTAGGGCTTCGTTAACTTTGCTTGTTTTCTAGGCTCTTCATGTGTCTCTTTCTGACGAATCTCGAGATACCTATTGTCAATACAAGCGCCTTTAGCATCACTCGTGAAATTGGAGGCCTGGATAAGGTGTTCTGGATCATAACAGCTTACATGCTTGGATATGTTGGTAATGGACCTCTTCTTCCCTCGGCTAACCTACTATGCTGACACTTGGAGGATAGGGGTCCTTGTCATCTCTGCCAAGTTCAGTGATCTTTTCGGGAGAAAGTCATCCTTGATTTTAGCCATCTTGATCTTTATGATATTTTCTGGTGCATGTGGTGCCTCGCAAACCATAGTTCAATTGTAAGCCCTTTCAGCACGTGGGGTTCACATCTTCATGGCACATTAGCCAACAAAACCCAACAGGATCATTTTTCGTGCATTTCAAGGAATTGGAGGCGCCGGAAACTATTCTCTCTGTGCTGCAATCATTCTGGAGCTGGTACCATCGGAAAAATATGCCAAGTATACGAGCTCGGTCGCAATCGTATACGCACTTTCCCTTCTTCTAGGGCCTATATTCGGCGGAGCCATCTCTGAATCATCGACGTGGCGATGGGTTTTTCTTCTCAAGTAAGCCAATGACCTTTTCACTGAATGATCAAGAGCATTATTCCCCTAAGTGTTCGCACAAACAGTATTCCCCCGGTGGCTCTGGCGGGCATTATCCTCATTATCGCGTTGCCCAACCGCTTCCCAAACCATCACGCACCGCGAGACGAAAGGAGAAACTTTTCATTGCAGGATTATATTCGCGAAGTCATTCGCAAGGTCGACATGCTAGGCTCCAGCATGCTTCTGGTTGCACAGTGTGCCTTGTGGCCGCTTTGGAAGAAGCAAACCAAGAGTATGAAATGGAAATCTCCATTTACCATTGTCATGCTCGTTATTTCCGGTGTGGCATGGGTCGTATTTCTGGCGTGGGAAAGGCGAGTCACACTCGCCTCATCTCAGGTCGAGCCCGTGTTTCCGTGGCGATTCGTTCATAACCGGGTCTGGATAGGAATGCTTTTGTACGTGACTTGTTCTCCTAAAATCGACAGAGCGATCCCAGGAACTAATGTATAACGCCAGGAACTCGATTTTCTTGGGTGGTACCTGGTTTGTCACTATCTTTCAGCTGCCACAAAGGTTTCAGGTCGTGAATGGATTATCCCCTCTGCAAGCAGGAATTCGCTTCATTCCTTTTACGGCCGCTGCCCCGGTGGGATCAGCTCTATCTTCTGCTGTAGGGCAAGGCTCTTAAGATACCCCTTGTATACCTTGTACTACTGGCATCCATCATCCAGGTTGTGGGATTTGCGCTCCTTTCCACTCTGTCAGCCTCCTTGACGATCACCGCCGCCCAGTATGGCTATCAGATCATTGCTGGATTCGGATGTGGCATCAATATTAGTTTATTGATCCTGATGACCCCTTTTACGGTGGAGGAACGAGACAAAGGTGAGCTTAGGACCCACAATCCCTTGGCGAGTTAGACAAGTGCTTACATCCCTATCTGTTACGCAGCTGTCGCTATGGGGGCTGTGGCCCAGTTCCGGGTCATGGGAGGCTCCATCTTTCTAGCCATTGCGACTTCTGTTTCGAACGGATTTATTCGGTCCCACTTGCGCGGATTATTGGATGATGGTCAGCTTCCTTCTGTTTTGTATTCGGCTGCAGCTGTTCCCATGCTACCGCCAGATGCGCAAATTATAGTTCGCACGGTGTTCTCGGAGAGCTACAACCTGCAGATGAAGATTCTGGCCGGGTGTGCAGGAGGACAGGTTCTGGCGTCGTTCCTTATGTGGCAGAAGGAACAGGTCATCATATGAGTGATTAGTTACCCTGTCTAGGCATGTCAAATTCGTGGGCCGACAGCTTTTTCCGACTGGAGTTAGCATGATGCAATATAGCACTGGATTATACTGCCGCAAGAGGCCCCTCTAGGAATATTTTAGTACGCGAACAGTTGGTGGACGACGAAGGACTGGGGAGGGTGGGAAAGCGCCAAGCCGGGGTATACATTAGGGCTAGTAGTAGCTGTGGTGCTAAGAAAGATCCGTCTAATAGCAACGAAGGGCTAGCGCTAGCCCTGAGTTCTTTTCTTTGTTGCTGCATACGTAACAAAGGCTGGTTGCTAGGGTTATAATGGCCATTGTATCCAATAAGACGATATCATGAAGTTGGATTGGGATGAACCCTGCTCAGAGAAGTACTCTTCTATGGGTTGGCTGAAATATTAATATGCCTTTTCATGTCCCCTCCCCGATATCCCCTCTCCCAGCAAAAGTTGTCCCGATTCTTCCCAGCCCTATTTTCTTTGATCTTCAGTGAACTTCTTCTACCTCCAAATAGCTCCATATATCTTTTTAAAGGGTTTCCTGTGCAACCTACGACCGCTTCGATGGCCATTACGCTGGACAGTGGCATTGCGCTTGTCACGGGCGTATGTCTCTCCCCTAGCGTCACCATGAACCCCCTTCCCTAACGAGATATTTGGCAGGCTGCCTCAGGAATCGGCAAGGAGACGGTCTTTGCCCTCGCCCAAGCCGGCGTAGAAGGTGTCATTCTTGCCGATTTGAACCATAGCGGCGCTGAATCAGTCGCCCAGGAGAGTCAAAAATGGGCCACTCACTCCAATTTTCGCGCCACGGCAGTCCAGGTGGACGTCTCTGATGAGGCTGCTGTGAACAACGTGATTGAGGTAGCAGTGAAAGAATTTGGCAGAATTGATTATTGTATACATTCAGCGGGGGTAAGTTCAGAAGAACCGAAGGGAGCGACAATTTTCGTCCATGGAGACTGACGCTGATGAAACTTCCAGATGGGTAGTATTTCCGGAGCGACAACCGAGCATCTCAAGATTGACGTCTATGACCAGACAATGGCCGTCAATGCTAGAGGCACAATGTTGGTCTTGCGAGCCGTCTCGGCGGCGATGGCTAAACAAGAGCCCCGCATGCACCAGAGTGCCCGTCACGGTACTTCGCGTAGCCTTGGCCGTGGCTCTATTGTCGTGGTTAGTTCTGTGAATGGTACCATGGTGGCACCTGGGATGTTGTCATATGCAGCCTCCAAGCACGCTGTAGCAGGTATAGCCAAGACAGCAGGTAAGCGGTCCTCCCCACACCTTGCAAAGATTGTTAGACCTAACGTTCTGGCTCTCCTCCTATTAGCTATTGACAACCTCAAGAACCATATCCGAGTGAACGTCGTTGCCCCCTTTTACACCGAGACTGCAATGTTAGAGGCTAGCTTGAAGCGACACCCTGAATTGGACGTTGCTATTAAAGCAATTACCCCATTGAAAAGAGCTGCATCCCCTGAGGAAGTTGCGGATCCTATCGTGTTCCTGTGCAGCTCAGCAGCAAGTTACACGAATGGAGCCACGCTTATCATCGACAGTGGAATAACACTCACCATTCCCCGAACCAGTCTGTGAGACTTTCTCGCAAAGATTATGCCGCCGGTCTGCTCTTTATCAATACGCTCTCGCTCCTTTTATGTACTTAGGCAGAAGATATTATATTAGTCTATCTTATGAGTGAAACCCTATCTTTTTCATACAAGGGCTGTTTAGTATGCATACAGAGACCATCACGGATTGGATACAGTTTGGGGAGGGCGGCCGTGTCTTTATCCACACTGGCATCCTTGTTCGACTAACATCTAGATCTAAGAAGACCCTGGGCCCAGAATCTATCTCAATCTTTGGTTGGGCTGCACAGAGACTCGGTCTTTTTAAGTTTTTAGGCTCTCGGAATTCATCTCGAATATTCTTCCAGTACCTCGAATACTTCGACTTTTCCCATATGCTGCGAACCTCTTCATAAATATCAGCCACGATTTCCTGGACAGAGGCCAGAGCATTTGCGCTCACAAACGAAGGTAAGTTCTAATTATCTTCATTAACCTTCTCTGACAATGCCGCAACGAATGCCTCCTTGGGAATTCCAAGGAAAGCTATGTACTCGAGCTTTGAATCCATATCCATTCCCGCGAAGGATGGTCCAGCATCCTTGAAGCTGGGGTCTGCTCCCTTCTCCACCAAGAGTTCAATCAGCTCTATATGGCCCTGTCTGCATTCCCAAGTGCGTGGAGTCAGGCCGTAGGTATCTTGACTGTCCAACTCAGCACCCCGCCGCAGGAGGAGCTATACAGTCTCTCAATGATTATGCTGAGCCGCCCATGACAACGCTGTCCGGCCGTGTCGCTCTCGAGCGTTGATATCCGCGCCACGATCAAGCAGAGCGTCCATTGTTTCACATTGGCTACTCACATGATTGGTGTCTTCCTGGTATTGTTGTGTGCATTTGATGCCCGGTTTCCGTTAACATCCGTTGAGTTTGGATCGATCCCACGATCAAGAAGGATTTCGACGACGGGGACCCTACCGTGTTCTGCTGCTAGAGAGAGAGGGGTCCTACCTCACTCCTCCTCTCTATCTTGAAGTGAAACACCGTGGGCATGAAGAAGCTTGATAATCGTGACATGGCCTTTGCGCACTGCACATAGTAATGGACTCTCGTACATGGCTAGGCGGCCACATTTACTCCCCGGGTTAGCGTCAGCATCATGCTGGAGCAGAAACTTGGCAGTTGACGTCGTTCCACACTTGGCAGCCACTGACATGGCAGATGAATCATCCTCGGAAATGAAATGAAGCCCAAGTCTACTCCTAGTTCCATGAGGAGCTTTAGGACTGACTCTTTTCCATTCTCCGTCACATAGAATGTAACTGGCCAACCGCCTTTATCCTGCAAAAGATGGTTGGCTCCATGCTCGATCAGTAGTTTTAACGATTAACTTATTGGCCATTTATAGCTGCATACGACAGAGGTGTTTGGCGCAACTCATCTAACAGATTTGGATCAGCTCCATGCTGTAACAGAGTCCTGATACAGGATTCATGGTCCCTAATTGCTGCCCACATCAACGGTATTCCTCCAGGTTCTCCGCCTGGTGAGATAGTCCTTGTAACGTTGGTCGACGCGTGTAGGTAAGGTCTCCATCTCCAACGGCTTGTTTGAGCAAGATTGCATAAAGATCAGCGGGCTTCTGTTCATGCTGCCGCCGGAAGCTACAGTACAGGTATGTAGTATTCACGTCGGCGTTGCCTGGTATTTGGTGATTAAATGGTTGATGATTATCAATGACATTACTGTTTTCCCTGCTCCGGGGAACCCCTGGCAAAAGAGAGCTTCCTTGTCGTGGCTAAGCTATTCCTGGAAAGTGGGTGAGTTCAGAAACCACCGTCCAGTTCCGTCCTGGGCTTGACTGAAGGCCTCGCTCTGCTCAGCGCTGAAATCATGAGGGCGTAGCATTCTAGAATATTCATGTTTTTCCACTGTCCATGAACCTTGCCCACGGATTTTGAGACCTTTTCTACGGATGTTGTCAATTGGGATACTCCTAATCCAGGGTACACGAGACTATAGCATTGTCAGGCCATTTGAGTACAATATAGTCTAAACCTAACTACCTCCCCAGAGACTCACCGTCATTAAGAACCTCGAGCACAGGCACTGCTTCTTCAACAGCCTGAGAATGAACCACACGCAGAAGATCCTTCGCATAGACCGCCGCGGTGATTACTGCATAGGGCTGCCACTCCTTGTTCTTATGTCCGTCAGAGTAATCACATATTCCGCGTATAACAATGCACGGAAAATCATCCATCAGGCCCGCAGCCTCCATTTCAAAACAGCATATATCCCACTCGTCACGCAGCTCATCCCGGCGCTGGGCTGAGCGCATTATTGCGCTTCCGGATGAGATGAGGCCGTAGTGGACCACTGGAATGTCTGATTCACGGTCAATTCTCTTCATCGGGTATGCACAGTCACATCTGGAGCAGTCTCCGTTGCTGGTGTGCTCGTAGCTCGAGGTAAATAGCTGATCGCGCTCCCAGCCCGGGATTGGGTATGTTCTCGGAGCTAGGAGGCGAGCAAGCTTTGAGCAGACTTGACGGATGTAGTTTTCCATCTGTCTTAGATCAAACTCATGGTCTGGCCGGAGCCTTTGCGTCGCAGTTAAAAGTAGAGAGGGCTGTTGATTCAGATAGGACGTGATATGGAACACTCTATTATCTTTAAATTTGCCCGCGTCGTAGTGTAGAACACCTCCTAAGTCTGGGTTAGTATTGGCACATTCAATAACCAAGGCACTTCATTGTCGCCCCTTACCATGACTCCCTCTCAAATCACTAACAACAGCATCCCACCCCACTGTGTATGCATTGTAGTCGGGCTTCTTGGTGACCATGGTTGTGTGGTCCTGAGAAGCCGGTACTTAGAAAGCGGATATAACAATTGTGTGGAAAGCCTTGTGCGTGAGATGCAAACCACCGGCGATTTAGGTTATATGTTTTCGACCATAATGACCTGGCAAAGCTGTTGCTACTATATATATTCCAGCCGCAAGAGCCCACGGAATTAAGAAATTCCAACAAGGCTCGGCTGCCATGTCGATCGCAATCATTTATGTCAGTGTCAATGCCATGGTAAGATGTGAATGGGCCGCTGGGTGCTTTAGTGGTGGCTATGTGCGGATACCAAGCATTTCAGTGTGCGATGATGGATGATGAGGCTGCCAAATGATCCGTGAATAGTGCCTGCGCGTGGATGATAAAATGCAATGGATTGACATCCTACTGAATTAAATCCAGTAGTAGCGCATAAGCCCACCACTGGGCCTTAGCAGGGGTTCACACACCTCATGCACCCATTGCCGTGGGCAGACAGAGGCTCAAGTCCTGTCCACAGAGCTAGATCAGAAAGGATAATAGGGCAAGGAAACACCATGATTATGAGTAAGGGGTAGGACACCCCTTCTTTCATGCTCTCCTGATGGCGAGAGAATTAGTTTCAAAAGGCTAACCAATTATGATGTCTGCACTATCCGGCCAGACGGTACTGATCTTCAGGCACTCACCACCGGTAGCGCGAACGCTGATCTCACGACGTGGTCCCAGCATGGCCACATTATATATTATACGGGTGAATAGGTCTTTCGGTATGAGTGTACTCTCTATGGTAATACCTTCCAGCCCTATTAGCAAGCATCTCAAGACATTGCTGTCTTGGTTACCGAAATCCTACTATATCCAAAGCTGCTTTCAAATGGTCAGATCAATGTCAGGGGCGCTGGTAGATCAAAAAAAACAAAAAATAAACTCGTTATGGCAGGATTCCATGCATCTCTATATTGAGAATACCTTTCTTTAGCTTTTCTTTTCCTGTGATATAAATAGAACGTTGCACTATAGCTCTCGTGGCTTTTATGATCATACCTCAGACCAACTTTTAGGTCTATTAGAAACCCTTATCATATAATGTAGCGTGCCTGAAGCTCGGCAAGCTCCGAGAGGCCGCGATAAGCCGATAAGACCCGCCCAGCAAAATAAAAACGTTCCCCCGCATTGATGGAAACCACACCACCAAAACCAACCCACACCCGCAAACAACAACACCAACACAAACAAAAAGAATCCCAAGAGAAAGAGAAAAGAAGACCACGATGGAAGGCCTCACCCCAACGCAACTAGCCTCCTTCCAAGAAAAAGGCTATCTAGTCCTCCCCGACCACCTAACACCCTCCGAAATCACCTCCCTCCTCACAGAAACGCAGCACCTCCTCGACACCTTCCCACTGGACACGCACCCGCTAACGCAATTCACGACCGGCGACGACCTCAAAGACAACAAACCGCACGTCGGCGACGACTACTTCCTGACGTCGGGCGACAAAATCCGCTACTTCTTCGAGCCCGACGCCTTCTCCCCATCGCCCGACCCGGCCACCGGCAAACCCGCCCTCCTGAAGCCGAAGCAGCAAGCGGTGAACAAGATCGGACACTCGCTGCACAGTCTCTCGGCGCCGTTCCGAGCCGTGTCGCTGTCGGAGCGCAATGCGGCGATCGCGAGGTCGTTGGGGTTCAAGGACCCCCGCGTGCTGCAGAGTATGGTGATATGCAAGCAGCCGGGGATTGGGGGCGCCGTGCCGCCGCATCGGGATTCGGAGTTTTTGTATACGGATCCGCCGTCGGCGGTGGGGTGGTGGTTTGCGTTGCAGGATGCTGGGCCGGGGAATGCGACGCTCGGGATGTATCCGGGTTCGCATCGGGGGAGGGCTGGGGGGAAGGTGAAGAGGAGGTTTGTGAGGAGGTCTAATGATGAGGGAGTGGTGGTTGGCACGGAGTTTGTGGAGAATGATGGGCCCGGGCTGCCGAGAGGCATGGAGGAAGGGGAGGTGGAGGGGCAGGGGCCCAAGGAGGAGGATGTGGAGGTTTTGGAGGTGAAGGCTGGGTCGTTGGTGTTGATTCATGGCAATGTTTTGCATAAGAGCGAGAAGAACACTAGTGATCGGAGTCGGTTTGCCTATACGTTTCATGTTATTGAGGGTGCGGATGGGTGGAAGTATGATGAGAGGAATTGGTTGCAGCCCCCGGAGGATGGGGAGGGCTTTTCGAAGTTGTATCAATGATTGATCGATCGTTACGGGTTGGTTGGGTCTGTTTGGATGGAGCATTGTGTGATGGACGTCAATATCATCAATTGCGCTAGTTACATCTATATTGCCATGATACAGTTGGGCGATCCCAAACCCCGAACTCCAACCAGGTATCCAGTAATGCAACAAATCTAGTCAAACATCTGCTTTTATTTGATTCCAATTCCAGTGCAGCGGGGGCTCGATTAGGCCGCCTTCAACATATCCAACATGCCCTTTGTCTGGCATGCTTGATGAGCCATTTCCACTTCGTCTCGCACGCGTCGGTGCAGCCGGTCAACCAGCTTGTCGATCGTTGCTGATTGACCCAAGTTTCCTGAATAGATATCAAGGACGTTCATGGCCACCTCGACGCTCAGCTTCACCAGGCGAGGCTCGCTGATGCTCTTGTACACCCACTGCAGCACCGGCTGCAGGGTCACCTCGTCGCGGTTTTGTAACGATGCGCGGAGAGCAGACCGATGACGAAGTGCGGTCAGCAGAGTAAGTTGTGCGGTCTTGTCGCCCGAAGCCAGCACTTGGTCCAGGGCGGCAGAATAACGGGCCTTGCGAAGGTCGTGCTCCCAGGTCTGTTCCTTCTTCCGTTTGCGATCCTGGCCTTCAATGACAATGTCCACACCCTCGCCAATGAAATCACGACCACGGAAACGCTTCTCCCAGCCGGAGCCCCGGAGCTTCTTTTGCTTAGCCACTTTACGGTCATGTTCTTCCAATTTGCCTTCCAGCAACGCCTGCATTTCCTTCCTCCGCTCCTTCTCCTTGATCTTCTGCTGGCCGGAGAGGCGGGTTTTGATCGACAAAAGACCGGACTGCATACCAACAGCAATGTGCTTATCTTCCTGCGCGGGTCCAGAGGTAATGGCGCGGAGCGAAAGAATGGGTGAGGGGTACTTGGATCCGGAGACCATGTTCCATCCAGTCGTCTCGAACACCTTCATGTGGCCGTCCAAGGCACCACTCAGCAGTCTCTCACCGTTCGAAGCCAATGCTAGCGCTGTGACGGTCTTCTGATGGCTTTGAATCATATGCAGCGGCTTTCCAGCCACGATATCCAGCACAGCGATCTTGTTATCTGCCGCCGCAAGCACCGTAGTACCCGCCGGCATAGGCAGGACGCTCTCAATCGGGGCAGCCATCTTGAAGGTCATGGCAGACCGACTCTCCACACGCGGATCCCACAGGCGCACAGTCCGATCGTAACTACCCGATACCAGCAGCCCGGAAGACGCCAGCGACCCCGGCATGAATGCACCGCTGCGCACATAATCAGTGTGTCCCACGAACGTCTTTACGCTGCTTTCGCTCGGAAGGTCCCAGAGTCGCACGGTGCGGTCATCGCTAGCCGTGAAAAGAGCGGTCGGGTCGCTGGGTGAGAACTTGCTCACCCAGACGGGCTGCTTGTGCTCCCTCCATGTCTTCAAGATCGCGCGCGAGGTCACATCGAATACCTGGACCGCACCAGTGTCGTCGCCAGCAACAAATACACGACCATCGGGACGAACGTCGGTGCCACGTACAGTGTCATCGAAGCGAGTGACGGTGCGAAGGAGTTTCCGGGTGCGAATGGAATAGATCTGGACTCGAGCACCGGTGGTCACGGTGAAGACATCGGGAGGCTGGGTGAGAGATGGGAAGGCGGAGGCGGACGACGGAGCGGAAGGCTGTGTGATTAGGTTGATGGGGCCATTGGCGGGCGAGGGGATCAGCAGAGGGTTCTTAAATGTCTTCCAATATTGTTGCTCTGGTGTCAAGCGAGTCGAGGGCAGCGCCGGGAGCTTGACCTGTTGGAGAGGGACGACGGGGGCAGCCATGGCTGCGAAAGGTGTGTGTTATGGTAAATTCTCGGAGATTGTTGCAATATTAGTTGACCGTAAGAGTTGACGGACGTGATACAAAAAAATACAGCTCATCCACCAGCTGCGTTGGCGCGGCAGGGCGTTGATTGGAATTTTTGTGCTGGTCTGGAAGATTTTCTGATAAAATCGCATCGGGAAAAGTTCTATCGGTCCCGATTGGATAAGCAATACGCTAGTGTGTAATTTATCTCACCGCCTTATACTGAATTATATAGCACTAAATACTGTCATCTTTCATCGAATTGGGGATGTGGTTTAGTGGTATAATGTTCGCTTAGCATGTGAAAGGTCCGGGGTTCAATTCCCCGCATCTCCATATCTTTTTGCTTTTGCACTCTCTAACCATCCTTCCAACTATTATCTTCTCTTTTTCCCTTTAAGCTCTTCAGAGTCCAAGAGTCTTGTTCAAGGGCCTCCATTATGCCTTGACAAGTTTTACAACCAGGTCCTATCCTGGAAATAAACATTGGCAACATACAACAAACCTAGCAATGGGCGCAAACCCAAAACGTACACTTACCACAACCGGTCCCAACAACTGTAATCAATATATATATAGCTGACCACTGAAATCCAGCAAAGAAAATAGCACTCTCAAGGTCACGCAAACATGGTCCCACAAATACACCACCTCAACCACGGAAACCCCGGCACAATAGACTTGAGAAATCCATTCCGCCTTCTAGAACAATCACGTCAGCTCCAAGACCCTCCCCAGCCCACAAAAAACACGAGACATAACGTCACCAAGCAGCTCTTTGTGTGAAAGCCATATCCCAAGAACTGAATCACAGTATCTTATAACCCACCTGGAAAATATATCCCCTAGGTTGTTTCATAGGCGGAGATCCCATGCCAACTGATGTTGCTATGATATCATCCATCGCCACACGACCTTATATAGAGAGAGAGAGACCGCGCACCCCGTCATAACCAAAGCTTCATCACTAAAGAAAAACTACATACATAATCATAGAAAAAAAAAACACTTCTGGCACAATTTCAAACAAAACACATATATCCTTGAAAGCCAGTTCTCTACCCAAAATGTCCGAGTCCTATTCTAGCTCTTCTTCCTATTTCTACAGCTCTTCGAGCAGCACTGACGACGGCACCACCGCTACCGGTCAGCGCTATGCTACGTTCTCGCAGACCGAGCCGGATGGAACCACGACTTCGCACTTACCGTCAAGATCTCGGCGAACCGGTTATCGTTGATGAGAAACGTTATGATCAATCCGGACGGCAATTGACGACCGGTGACACTTCAGCTGGGGGAGTGCGCCGCATTACGGATTTGGATGAGGAGGGTGGGGAATCTTATGACTAGGGTGTTGGGTGTGATGGTCTACGTCTATTTGATGGGAGGTTAAATTGAGTGTTCCAGAGTGAAACTCGTCGGGTCTTTATAGGATGACCGGTTAATTTATTTCATGATGCGCATGTCTTGTGTTTAGGCAAACGCATCTAACTACCATCTTGTTATGCCTCTAGTAAGTGGGAATATAGGATCTAATTATATAAAGAATTAACAGTTCTTTCACTTTTATGCTGTAATTCTCTAGTAAGCCAAATAAACCTTCTAAAGCTCAATATATCTTTAATTTGCAATCAATGGTGATCAGTAGGACCCGGAATATTGTTGTGGCATTACCAGTGACCATTCATCATACAGCGTACAAACATGACTAAGATAAGAGACGCGTCAACACATTCTTGCTCTGTACAACAGTTGTCTCCTCGTTCGGGATGTTTCGTTAGCCAAGAGTTCAGGCAGAGCGGTGGAAATCGATCCTCGAGCAAATAACAAAGCATCCCGGATATATATATCATTGGCTAAAAATGGCGTAAAAAACCGTGTCGAAGGCAAGAAATATTCAGTAGTAAGCTTCGTATGCAGTCATATACAGCGTCATTGTTGGAGATCGTCAAGGGGGCGATTATGGCAATCTGACCCGACCCTCGTTCCACCGATTTCGTACTTTTCCCCAGAGACCAGGCAGCTCATAGCCGACGTGGCACAAAATACCGGCCAGGAATCCAATCGCATCATTCTTAAACCCAACCAGCAGCCCCACGGTGACCATCATGACCGTCCATCGTCTCTTGCGGTCTGCGTCACTGAGCATCGGCGCAATGTCTTGTCTGGCATCACCCAAAATTCCGAAACTAGCCTTCATAATATCCCGGGCCCCCGTGGTATTGAGACTCTCTCCCACGCTAACCAGCTCCAGTCCTGCAGCAATCACCATTACTCCTAACAGCGCTGAAGGGAACCGTTTCAACAGGCCCACCAGACTTTCACCGAAAAAGATACCAATCACCAGCTTCAGTAAGCCCAGGAAAATCACGCTGGAACCAGACCGTGCCCCGAATCGGTACTGGGCTGCCAGTCCGCCGGAACCATGACAGACCGGCATGGCGCCGAACCAACAGCCTACTAGGTTCATTGCGGCAACGCTGAGTCCGATGGATGTGACTGAAGGCGTGCGTACATTCGGGATCAAGTCACCCGCAAGATGCACGACGGCGACGATGGAGTTCAGCGTCGTGAGCGGAATCTGTCCGACACCCGCATCAAGAGCACCCACGGACCACTGTTCGGGAGTGGGGACGACGGTGTAAGGATGCCAAAACGTGAGAGACGGCAAGTCGGCTACCAGTGCACTGCGGATGATGGCAAAGAGGATTCCAAGAATGAAAACTACTAGCGCATAGGGCACCTTGCGGTAGACGTTGGTAATGATGAGGAAGACAAATGCCGCAATGGCCCAGATCCGATTATCCGCCCATGACGGCGCGACCCATCCCAAGGAGGACAAGATATTCCCACAAGATGCGATGACAAGAGATAAGCCGGCCCCAACCTGGATACCCTTAATGACGGGGATAGGAATTACGTCTGCGAACCAGTGAAGAAGACCAGTGACGCTGAATATGAAGATACACGCGCCTACGAAGATGCCGGCGGCGGCAATGGTGCCATTGTTGAAAGATCTGGCGATTGCTACAGCGGCAATTGCTTTCATGGGCTGCACAGGAAGTGGGATGCCGAAGAACAGACCGGTCAGGATATTGAAGAGCCCTGAGAAGATGAGGGTGCTGGACAGCGAGACGGTACCGTTGATGGCCAGTGCTATGGCGATGGGGAGAAAGGTTCCGAGATCGCCGAGCGAACCCGAAATCTCCGACACATAATTGCGGCGGAATGTCTGGAGATTGTGCGTTGAGATCTGACGAAAGGTCTGGGCGGTCATCTTGTCGATGGTTATTGTTGTCGTTGACTCCTGGAAGCCAACTAAAGAAGGGATACTGGAAAAAGACGGTCAGCGATAAAAGAGGAAATGCATAGTTAGTTGAGTACCAGAACCAGACTAGTGCGTCATGGGACAACACCCCGCATTCTTTCATCCGCGCCATGTGAGCTTCGTGCCCTACCCCATTTTAGTAAAGGATTAACTACAGCTCCATAGAATTTCCTTTGCACAGTACAATGAAGCGATTTTTATCAAGATGCCAAGATGAAGTACATTTATGCGAAGGCTGCACTACTCCATTCTGATGTCTCTTTCCTTCCTTTTTTCCCCCTCTCCTTTACTCCCTTATAAGCCTGATTTAGATATTTGAAGACCTTAAGACTCATTTCAACCAAACTCATCTCTCCTTATACAAAATCGAGTTTGGTCAACTTAGACCTGAATGTTAGTTAGTATAGGTATAAATCAGTATTCCCATTTGAAAAGGTTTAACTCACATCACAATTCAAACTTGCATTCGGCGCCACCATCTTTATTTGCTTGCTCACAAGCTTCAAGGTCCTCAGAGTCACAGTATTCAAGCGCCTCAATATTTTCGCCATCAATACAGTTGAATATGATGTTTTCCCAGTTTGCTGTTCTATCGTTTCTGGCATCAGCCGGTAGATTTGTGTTTTTCTGCGCTGCAGATATCATCTGTCCCTCACGGTAACCTGTTATTACATCCCCGATCCGTAAGTATGATATTTCCTCACTGCGAGGGCAAGCATCAACAGCTATTTGAAGGGTACTTACCCAACTGGTCTCTGAGGTTTCCGCCACAGTATTTCCCATTTGTTGTGCATGCCGCAAAGACGCCTGGGAGTATGAAGGAGAGAGGCAGAAGAGTGAAAGAGGGCTTCATATTGAACTTCTCGGCTCAAAGGCTTCAATAATAATGACAATGGGTAATGTATAAATTGATAGCTTTCCTTGAGGTAAGCTTTTATCGTATTTATATTACTTTGCTCTGCTCTGGGCGGTGTCTTCGCACTGCAATCCCTACTCGCTGCATGCTGCCCTAGTTCCCCGATCTCAACATAGTTTGGCGAATAGTGAAACACATCACATCTCATTTAGAGGCAACCACTGGCAGGTTTAGTTAGTTATGTCCGCCGTAGGTCAGATCGGATTTCTCAGAAGTGGACCTAGTGGGGCATCTGAGATCTGATCCAACAATTTCCCTGCATATCCCCATAAAGGGTAATTAATATAAAGCAAGGTTCAATAATGCTTTTGATCTTCATTTGTTGATACACTCGTGTTGATCTCTACATCAGTCAAGGCTCATGAGCTTCCTCCTTCCCCCTTGCTGGGAAGGTATACTGGTCTAACACGGTAACTTCAATGGTACGATTATTAGGACCCACATGGGCACTGCAGGTACTGCCACCTCAAAATTGCCGTAGATCAAAGGGGGTGCGTATACAAAGGATCTCACGGTGACATTAGCTTTAGTTACGGGAAACAGAGGGAGAAACATATAAGGTTGATTTTCGAATGCCTTACTTTCTTCCAAAATCATCAGATCCCAATTTTCAGAATATACTACCTTGGCTATCCCGTGGGTCACTACACTAAATTCCTCAAATATACACATAATCTGAGTAGTACCGCGCTTGAAGTTACTCCAACATTCCATCTGTCGAGATTTCTTTTTGGCCATGAAGCACTTTGCAACCTGGATGCTTTTTCTATCTGCTTGTTGCAGCGCAATTCCACTTGACGGCTTGCAACATTGCGGCGTGACACTTGATCAAAAGCCTTCATGCGAGAATGGTGTCCTCCAGGGCTTTGACAATTCGAGTCCTATCACAACCAGTTCCTGCCTGATAACGCTCTCGGTGGACATGAAAGGTGCAACTTATTCTTTAGTGGCGGAGGTGGACGAAGATGTAAGAGAGCGAGGATTTCCTAAATCGATGGCAATAACCAGGTTCGACAACAAGATCGCCCCTCAAGAAATCAGCTTCAACGACGGCGTGTTATCTTTCCAGTCGGAGTTCAAGAGCCGGAAGTACCAATTCGTCTTGAAGGCGCAGCGTGGTCTTTACGATAATCAAGAGCTATCTTTTTACAACAGGCGTGGGGGACATTTTGAGGGTAAAATTGGTTACAAATGCATCAATAATGTTGCTAAAATGATTCTATTGCCCCCAGGCAACTGTGAGTGGCTCTTTTATTCTGGCCCAACTTTATGATCTAATAGCTGATACCTTCTATTTCTAGCTGTTTTCATTGTGCATGAGCCCCAGTTTGATGGAGATTATGCAACCTGGAGCTATGGGCCTCCTACTGGTGGTGTTCTCTCCTGTGAGTTTGATCTGATTTCTCGTCTCAGCAAGAAACGAAATAATATTCTAATGGCTTTACAGACGGCGGCGGTAGGGACCATCATATTCATGATATCATTGTCAACTTGAAACCTTAGAGGGGGCGTCATGACAGAACGTAAAGTTTTATCATCAGCTATTTCAGGACTGGTCACAGGCCGGCGCTCTGAATTGGGTGAGCCCATCTTGGAACCCATCCTGTTGAGTATCGTCCGCCTATGGCATCCCGAACAAGAATCTGCTTCAGATGCCGGAAAGGGGTCTCCTGACAAGATTTTACTCTGTCTAGTAGATCCTTTTCTCAAATATACGCCTACACAGACGGGGTAACCATGCCTTACTGCTCACTCTCATACATTTCTAACCTTTGAACCCGGCGTTATGTCTGATTCCATTGAAATGTAATCTTTCTTCTGGAAGCTAAGAGTGCTCTATCTTCTTCATATTCTATGACTAATTATGTATGCCAAACTACACCTGCAAAGCCAGCTGGGACGATGATCGCTTTATAGCTGAGGTATAACATGCCTTGCCTGGTGTGGAGACAAACAAAAGCAGATTGATTATCTTCACGATCAATGGACTATAGAAACCCACCACTCTGTACGCACGACTAAAGCCCTATCCTCGTCAGTAGATCATCGCCCGGTCCCTCAACGAGTTTGCGGCTTGTGACGAAATGTGCCAGTCGGATTCTGCGATAAATCGACCTGATCCAGCGAGAATTGAGAACACGGGAGACAGAGCCTGTCCGATCTGTAATAATGCCACTTACGGGAATATTAAGACTTGGAAAGCCTGTGAGCAATACATGCATGAAAGATGCCTTGATGACTGTACTGATGCCCAGGAAGGATATCGGGACATACCACCATGCCCATTGTTCAGCCCAATATAAATATTAAATCTTATGATTGCCTAAATCATATAGATATAGGGCCTTTTGAATAAGTTCTTCCTTAGCTTGATTGGCCAATTGTATCTTTGGTATATGGTGTGAATCGCTTCAAAAAATAATGATAACATCGATATATTGAAAGAAACTACGTTGAGCTGTAGCCGATGGCTGTCCCAACGTAACCGTCCCATGGGGTTCCAGATCCCGGATCAGACCCGGAACCGGGTCCTTATCCGACGGATATAAATCAAATGAAGCTATAAAGGGAGGGACACGACACCTACAGCACTAATTTCGTAATAACAACTACCCCACCTTTCTATTAATCCAGTGCCTCAAACCCTTTCCCCCCCCCAAGATACACTCCCAGTGGAAATCCAGTTTTATAATTCTCAACATGTCAAACGGCTCAGCCTTCTTCCTCCCACCTGAAAGAGCCCAAGGCCTCGCCAACTACCCTCATGCACGCATTCTCCCCACCAACCCCGCTTCTCGCACCATCCATGTCTCTGGCACATCATCACGCCGTGGCGATGGGACCTGGGACGGTGTAACCGAACATGCGGATGGAACATGGACGCTGGATATTCGTGAACAGACCGCGGCAGTTCTCCGCAATATTGACACGGTTATTCGTGGCGCAACAGACGGCAAAGGGAGCATTAAGAATGTGGTCGATGCAACGGTGTTCTTGACTGATCTGGCCGGTTCCTATCAAGGTATGAATGAAGAGTGGAATAAAGTGTGGCCTAATCGCGAGGATGCGCCAGCGAGGACCACAATTGGTGTTAAGGAATTACCAAATCCGCGGTTGGTGGTGGAGATCAAGTGTACAGCAGTCTGTGAATGGTGAGCGAGTGTCGATAGAGACTGAAGGTTACATCGTCTTGTTTTCTTTTTGCTTTCACAACCCATGGATGGCCTGGATAGGGTTCTGCAATATTTGTTGTCTGGTTACTCAATGACTCTGCGATTCTATTGCCTGACTGTATGGATAGAGTATCTTTTGGGATTCCGTGTATATATCTCTAAGACCTATGATTCGGAAATCAGCTATATTATGATATGGCCTGTAAATATCAGTAGAGATATGATCGCATCGGACCCATCTTACAAACATACACGAAGAGAACGAAAGACAGATGATTGGCCTCTGCCTAGAATTTGAGATGGATAGACTGTTATATCCACTGTTTCCTCGTAATAAGAGTAACCTAGAAGACTATAGAATGCCAAAATAATTATCGTCTTATATGCAAACAACGATAACATCTATCTGCCCCACTCTGAGCACTTGTATCCTTTCTCGCTCTATTATAATCAACGATCCATCCAGATAAATAGGTGGGTCTCATCAGCAGTATCCAGAATAATTACACAATGTTGCCACGAGTCCAGCTCAGCTGAATCCAGGGGAAGGAAACCATGAGCCTATATCCATTTCCATATCCTGAACTCCATCAGTAAACCTCCAATACACATTGCTTCCAGCGAGGAACAAGCAGATAACTTACAAAATCATCACTGAGAGACCAGGCTAACTGGTTATCAAATATAGTCATGGTTGATTCCTCAGTAGTTGCTGTATTCAACCCTATTCCTGGCTGTGAAAGACTCAATCTCTCAACCCTGTCTTCCAAGATCTTCGAACACATTTCAAGAACTGACAACATAGTTCTACTCAACGCTTCGTCGATTGGTCGGCTATACTCCATAGCCTCAATCTGGGCCAGAAAGCAAGCAGACACCAGGTAACCTTTAATGTTCGTTTCACCAGCTTCAATTCGGGCCAACATGCAGGAGGTAAATTCTTCGATAATATGCTTGGATTCTTCGTGTGATAAAGGATATGACGAATAGGGAACCGATACTGAAGTATTAATCGGCTTCTCCTTAATTCGGACAATCATGTCATCTGCAACCACAGCAGCTGCTTGGATAGGAACGTCCCGAAAGGACGGTGAGCCTGTGAGCAGCAATGCGGTATAGTCAAGGTCTTCAGGTACGGATCTGCTAAATGGCGCTAAGATACGCATAGATATTTCAAGGGCTACTTTATGTGAGTAATACAACGTCGGGTCAGATTTTGCCTTTATGGCAAAGGGGTCATGAAGAGCAAGCAGAAAGCGCTGAGTCATCAAGTCGTAGAGGTTTGACTGGAAAAGAGTAGGAGATTTTCCACTATTTTTGAACGCATCAAATAGGGCTGAGCTTTCGCGGTATATATTGGTAAGGCTTTTGTTGAACTGTAAAGCTTCGTCGTACGAGGCGCCTCGGCGGAAGTCGTTCAAAAACTGTGCAATTTGTAGTCGAATAGGCAGTGATCGTTGTAAAGCTATTTGCAGAGATGTATCCGTAAAGTCCTCGGAAGGTTTTGCCTTAGGAATGGGATCTTCCATCTGTGCATCGTCAAGGTTTAGGGGAGGCTCACAGTCGTAGTCATCACAGTGAATTAGAGGAATGCCTCCAGCATCCATACTAGACTGGACCGCAATCTCAAGAATTGTATTCCATATCCTCCGTCTAAGCTGCGCATCGAAGAAAGAAACCCCCTTAATATGACGTGGGTCAATATGGAAACCCATATGCATAGCTGTTCGAAGTAGAGTGCCAGCTGAGACCCAGACAAGGTCACTGCTAATGTCACTTGTCTGGCGGGCCAACAGTAGGAGGCAGTGTGTTTGGAGGCTAGTGATATTGAGACGCGATTTCTCAAACGGGGAGCTGAGCCACGTTTGTGCCGTATATATCCACTGGGATGATGTAGAGCGCGGAACATAGTCTTTATTTGGGTCTCCAGACTGACAAAAAGAGTTCCCAATCGCTAGCATTAGTAAAGTCATGATAATGAACGCCGGGCTGGCTGCCGGAGGACTTCTCCAGTACTGATCGTATTCACGTAGGAAGGATGGCACATGTACGATACGGTAGACGGATTCGAAGGTACGGAGGTAAGCTTGGATAAGCCTGTCAGATGTTTCTTTCGATGGCATGTAATCCCTCAGGTCAGGACAGATTTTCTGGTGAATTATCTCCTGTGATTTGGCCGTTCTTGCGAGCTGTTTGCATCTCTCGTAGAGAATTTTTATCTCGGGGGTCTCAGAAGCCTTTCGATAGAACATATGGATCATGTCATGAACCTTTTGAGCTTTAGTCCATGTCACTTCAATTTACAAGGTAGAGAGCAGTACCCTATGTTCACATATAGATCGATGGCTGTTCCCGAAGAACCTCGTCTTCAGGAACCTTCCATTGATTGAACCTTGCTCGCGCACTCTTATGGGTGCCTGACCTGGATAGCTATTTGGTGGTTGCAAATTGAGGGTTTCTTCAAGCTTCTTTTCTAGCTGGCGTACTCGATCTGTTAATGATTGAACAAGCGATCCTTCCTGCAAATCTTCAGGTACGTGAGAAACCTTCGAATGTTGCACAGCTGTTGGGTTCGCCAGGGATGAACTAGTGGATTGGAGTGTATCTACATTGAGAAGCCCGGGGAACTGTACATCTTCAGGGCGGTTTGGTAAGTCCCATGGTGGATTGCTACTCGAAAATGCCGTGGGGGCCAAATCGATGACTTGATCGTGTGCGACATTAGTTTTCCGATCAGCGTCAACATAATGGCAGGATCGAGGATCAGACCGTATGCAGCTAGCACACGGGTGGTTTCTATCGCAGCTGGAGCCGAGTGAGAGAATGCAGAACGAATTAGGGAACAGCGTCAACTAACCGGATTTTGCGACGGCGACATTGCTCACAGGCAAGTGCTGGGCGTCGGCGTTTTCGCTGAAACGCCGGGGCTGTGGTAGTAGCCATAGAGGCGACAGGGAAACTGAGAAGTACCGTGGTCGAGTTCTCCACGTTTTTGTATCGAAACTTGGAGGTACATACGATGCATGTCGCTTAAGTTAAGACAGAGAAATAGACACGCTTTCATGGCGGGCGGAGTCTTGTGACCTTCGGCCTTACCTTGTTCAGCACTAGTTGTTGGATGTAAGCCTTCGGAACCCTAAGTACGACTAGTACTACTCTTGGTAAAATTACTCATTCCGTTTATCGAGAGCAGTAGTGTCCCAAGGATATACCATAATGTAGCCAAACGTACACAACCTGTTCGTTCTGGGAGTGTGAATATGTCTTTTCCCGATTCTCAAGGTCGGTTCCGGTTGTACGAGTTACATTTACCATCTGCTTCTGAATTGGCAATCATGGTTTAGGTTTATCGGCGATAGAAAACTGGCCTGTGAAGGACCATTGTTGAGATCAACACAGCCATTCGCACACAGCTCACGGTATATGGAGTTTATAGGTTGAATTGCAATCCCGACAGCGAGTTCGCAAGGAGAGAGCCATCGCATCTATATTTGCCGGCAGACAATACCGCGACCACCACCTAACAAGCTCTTTGCCCACTTCACATATTAGCGAGTCTTAGGTAAATCATAAACAGAGGGCCCGAATTGCTGCCTATGTAATTATTTAAGGTATGTATACACACGAAATAGTCCTTCCTCTACGCCAACCAAGCATCAACGGCCGCTTTCAGGTGTTCTTGCATCCATTCCTCTTCTAACCGAGTCGCGATGTCAAATCCGTGGGCACCTTCTCGTAAAGTCAGTATGATCTTATCAGCCCCCGGCTTTCCTTTCATGACCTCGCGTGCCAACTCAGTAAATCTCTGGTTGCCTTCGGCGGGCACGATGTCATCTTGCAGTCCTTGGATGATAGCAATCCCACCGCGAGGAATCTTAGCATCTGGCCGTTCTATTCTTTCTAGCGGGTACCGCACATCTCGGTGGCGTGAGTTCTCAAAGCCTCTCTCATATAATCGGGTCAAGCGCCCGTAGTGAATTGCCGCAAGCGTCAAATCCAGCCGGTCGGGCAAGAAAGCGGACGAGCAAATAGCTCCAGGTTTGATTTTTGCTAGAGTCTCGTCGATCAGTGACTCAGGAACCGGCAGATCGGTTAACGGCCCGGGATTTGGGGTTCTGAAGTGGTCCGAAGCCATATCGAGACATGGATAACTTGCTGTTGCCGCTCGGATCTCGTCCGGATGAGCCAGAGCAAGGCATACGCTAAGTAGACCGCCCGCAGATTCGCCTGCTGTAAGGATACGGTCAAAATCTAGCTTTGTCGGGTTTACACATGACGACAAGAGCTTTTCAGACTCTGAGGAGTGGAGCCAAGTCCAGAAGTCCTCGACATCTTTGAAGATGTCGAGGCTCGTCGCTTCGGGAAGAAAACGGTAGTTGGCGGTTGCAATCACTGCGTTATGTTCCTTGGCCAGATCAAGGAGCCATTGAGGGAACCATTCCATGGATAGTGAGTCTCCAGTTATCTTGTTCACTTAGCTATTTCCAATGTTTAATTGTGCCAGTCAAGGTTGGGCTTTGGGCTTACAAGGCCGCCCCCATGAAACCTGACAATGACAGGTCGTTTCCCGGTACATTCTGCATGGGGGATGATGAAATCCGCACGAATGCCGTGATTACCCACTTTCTTGTAGTGAGTTTGGACAAGGTCAAAGTCGATCAGCCTTTCGTGAGATGCTATAGAGGTAGCCATGGTAATATTAGACCCGGAGCAAAGCTTGCAGGGTAGAAAGAGGAAATACAAAGCCAGATCTGAGCGAGACTTGTTCTTGGGTTAGAAGCTCCTCGAAGAATTTGGGAAGCTGTTACACAGCAGAAGTCTTATATGCTTGTGCGCCAACAATCATTGATGAGTTGGGGGGGGGGGTGGTTGCATAGTACTAGTACTACTAGTAGTACTAGTGCTGAGTTAAACTATTGGTACGTAGTACCAATCAGATCATGGATTAGCCGTTTGCCGGGTTTGCAACTTGATCAAGGCAAACTTAACAAACAGCTTCAGCATCCGGAAAGCGTAAGATCTTCGATCCTGTTTGAACCCAAAGAACAAGACTGAAGGTCAATCAAACATCAAGTTAACTTCCATGGGCCTTGGTGTCATCGAAAATGAGTCATGACGCTCATAATTCTTTGACATACCCCCCAACATTAGGAGAAAGGAGCCCCATTAAACAGAACTATAGAAATACCCGAGGGAATGCCAAAAGTCGGGCGGGGTTAAGTAAGCTAGCCAACTAACGAACGTTAACTATATAAATGCTGCTCATTGTTCTATCGCAGAGCGGCAGAGGGAACAAGCAACCTACTGCCTGCACACTTGAAACGTCAGCTATTCAAGGTCTGGAGTCAAAAGTTATGACTCATCCTGGCCACTAGATCCTCCCCCTCTATTAGTACATATTATACGACCGTTTTATAAGCGGCACAATGGAAATTCGTGGTCAATGTCTCATCAAAGGCGCTGCATCTGCAGAGTTACAATGCTGCCCGGTTGGACTCAGCTTTTGGGGTGGTGTGAACCCTGAAACTGGGCAGGTGGTAGATCATCATCATCCCCTCTGCGGCCAGTCTATCGCTGGTCGAATTCTTGCTATTCCCTGCGGTAGAGGTTCATGCTCCGGAAGCACGGTCATGCTCGAGCTTCTGCTGAATGGATGTGCTCCTGCTGGGTTGATTTTCGAGAAGCACGAGCAGATTCTGACTCTCGGGGTTCTAGTAGGAAAAGTGCTATTTGAAAGCCCCATACCAGTTGTGGTCTTGTCCTCTTCGGACTTTTCACAAATATGCAATAGGCACTTCGCCGCCATTGATGGAGAAACCGTGCTCGTCAGTGACGCTCTGGTACCGACCCCGAAACTGCCTGCCGAATCCATTGAAGGCGATATCGACCTTTCAGATTTAGATCGGAGCATCCTGGCTGGCGAAAAGGGCCAAGCAGCCAAGGTTGCCTTGGAAATCATCAGGAGCTTTGCAATTATTCAAGGGGCGCGCTCACTATTGGACGTTTCTCAAGCTCATATTGACGCCTGTATATATACCGGCCCTGCAAGTCTTCTATTTGCACAAAAGTTCCAATCCATGGGTGCTAAGTTTACTCTTCCAACCACCCTCAATTCTATTTCGATCGATCAACGCCGCTGGAAGGAACTAAACGTCGACCCTAAGTTAGCTTCACAGGCAGGTACATTAGCCAATATCTATCTTTCTATGGGTGCACAGCCCAGTTTTACCTGCGCCCCGTACGCGCTTGACACTGCTCCCAAGGCCGGGCAAAACATTGGATGGTCGGAGTCGAACGCTGTTATTTTCGCTAACAGCGTCCTTGGTGCACAAACCCAGAAATATCCCGATTTCATTGATGTTTGTATTGCTTTGACCGGAAGGGCTCCTTCAGCTGGATGCCACTTGCCTGAGGGTCGACGACCAACAATGTGTATCCGGGTGAGCGACCTGGGATCAATCAACGACTCCTACTATCCACTACTGGGATACGTCATTGGAAAACTGGCTCAGCATAACATACCATTAGTGTGCGGGCTAGAGTATCTGCAACCACAGATCATGGATCTCAAAGCATTCAGCGCCGCTTTTGGTACCACCGCCTCTGCCGCAATGTTTCACATCAAGGGTATTACGCCTGAGGCTTCTAAGTTTGCTGAGCTAGAACAAGAGCTACCCGTTACAGAGCTCTCGCATGAAGAACTAGTTGATACTTGGCATATGCTCAATTCCGCACAGGACCTTTCTGTTGATCTTGTATCCTTGGGGAATCCGCACTTCTCTCTTGAAGAGTTCGACGTTCTCTCTAGATTATGCTCCGGCCGCAAGAAAGCCGACGATATCAAAGTCATCATAACCACCGGCCGAGATACGTACGAAAATTCGAAAAAGGCTGGTTATATCGATATCATCACAGAATTCGGGGCAACAATCATTACAGATACCTGCTGGTGCATGCTCGGGGAGCCTGTTATCCCTATCACCTCTCGTAATATAATGACCAACTCAGCCAAATACGCCCATTACGCTCCAGGGATGGTGAAGAGGGGTGTGCATTTCGGGAGCCTTGCTGAGTGCGTGGAGGCGGGTTGTACGGGTACATTTGTTGGAGTCCCCCCTGGACAGGCGAGTGATATTGGTGAACAGCGGACTTCATATAAAAACTAGAATACGTTAATCTACTTTTGGGCGCGAAGGTGGGTGATACGTGACTCCACGGACTCGGGTTAAGTTGATATATGGGATCAGCCCCAGGCTCAGATGTAATAACTTTCATTCGCTATTGATTAATTACTGGTGCGTTTATGTAGAATTTCATAAAATCGAGACATTGTGGCTTTTGTGGCACTCAGTTGGGTTAGTTTGGCCGAAATGTAGTATACGGCAGGCATTGCATCCTACAATTTTGCTTCTTGTGACCAGATACCACACTATTAGTAGAAGAACGATCTAATAGCTTAGTATTATGCTTTAATACTTTTCCCATCGATTACAAAGATGTACTCGAGCAAAATCCATACGATAGAATATTTCCATTATGACCGTATAGTTGATTTAGTCCGCCTCAAGGGGGCTATAGCTACAAAGTGGATTCTTTTACCAAGTCCATTGTATACACGCATGGTCCAGTGACGTCCATTGAGAAAGCATCCCACTCAATATCAAACGCACAATCTATATACGGTAACAATATATATCACTGATTGCAATCTAAAACCAACCACGCGAAGCCAACAACACCCTCTACACGAACCAAATAGCGACCCCGTCCTACCTCATGCCATCAAGAAACTAAAATAGCTTGACAACAGCCTTAGCCGCACTCAATCCAGCCAAATTTCTCTCTATAGCCGTCTGTATATGCTCCAACCCAGTACCGACGACCAAAGGCTCCGGCATAGGCTTGAAGTGGCCGCATTCCAGCGCTTTGGGCAGATAATTCGCCCACACGGCAGGGCCCACCTCGTTGTTCTCCACCGTAAGACAGAAGATACCCCTGACAGTGACCGAAGACGGCAGCCCCTCTGGGGTTACAACATCATTTGTATACACGAGAACCTTGCGGGCGGCCTTGCTTCTTTCGAGAATCTCCGCACAGGCCCGCTGGGTCTGGTCCTCCGATATACAGTCGTATGCCCCGACAACGTGCTTGTTTTCAAGCGCGGCAACAATGTCATCGACCACGGTGGGGCTCCGGTGGTCATAGATTTGCGAAACCCCTAGGTCCCTGAGAAGCGCGTGGTTGTGCGGGCTGGCGGTCGTGATGACCTCGACCCCTGCGGCATGGGCGAGCTGCACGGCGCTGATGCCAACGCTGGAGCTACCACCCCAGATCAAGATCGTCTGGCCCGAGGCTGTGGCGCCAGAGAAGGATGAGGGAGGTTGAGATAGTCCTTCTGGAAAAGGCCGGCAGCGGCCGTGCTAACTGAGACAGGGAGGACAACTGCTTTCTCGTAAGAGATAGATGGGGGTAGAGGTGCCGCTAGGGTCGCCGATAGGACGGTGAAGTCCTGGAAGCCCGAGTATCGATTATCCCCGTTTGCGAGGTTCTTACAGTGTCTGCAATGCTTGTTAGTTTGGTTGTAGGATGACTCCAAGGGGTTGGGGACGACGCACCCGATGACACGCTGCCCTAGAGTAAAATTGGTCACCCCACTGCCGACCGCGATGACCTCGCCCGCAACATCCACACCCAGTATAAAAGGATATTTTAGGGGGAGAATCTCGAAGTTCTGTAGCTTCCAGTCGATCGGATTGATCGCGACGGCATGGTTCCTCACAACAATAGTACCGGGGTCCGGCGAGGGATAAGGTGCCTCTCGGACTTCGAGGGGAGTCTTACGGGCCGCAAGGAGGTAGGCCGCTCGATTCAAAGACATGATCAGGAGGTACAATAAGAATAAATTAGGTAGCTAAGAGTTTTGGGATAAACCGGTACTGAAATCATTGTGATCCTCATTTACGACTGGTCATGGGGAGTGATTTTATATCAAGGGTATCGTTGTTGGAAGTATAATATGCCTACTTCCTTGACTACTAAGCCGTGGTATTTCCGACCCCAAGTCTAGCAGTATACAAAGACTGCTTTATCTCCGGTGAGAGACGCACTTAGAAGTTAGAACCTTCTATCCCGGACTAGACCAAATCTCACCCTGGTCGGACACCGCGTTACATCCGGCGCATCTCTCTATTTTAGCGCCGGCTTTAAAGCTTATATGCGAGCCTTACTAAGGGATTATTCTTTACAAAGCAATGTAGCTCTATTACCTATCTTAAATGCAGCTATGCTGGAATACCATCTCCCTCGCTCCGTTTAACACGCAACTCTTCTCTCCATGTATGTCCCCGGAAATAGACCGCCCACAGAAACGCACTGAAGACAAACCAAACACCAACAATGAACGTAGTCGTCCAGCCAATGCTAATACGATCGATCAGGGGTGTCGCAAACGCCGTCGCACCAGCTGCAAGCAAGCAGCGAAACAAGTTGTTCGCAGCCACGGCAGTTGCCGCACTTTGGCGATGAATATCGACGATCAGCGTACTAAGGGTCGAAAAAGCCCCCGTGGTAAGATGGCCGGAGAAGAACAACAACACCAACGGAACCGCCAGGTGAGTTTGATATCTCATGACCCACCCGTATGCAAGAAGGAACAAGCAAGCCGCATACACGAAAGGGATTGTAATGGCTAACCGGGTTTTTTCAATATCAAAGTCTCGGATGTCCTGTTGGCGATTCTTGACAATGGGTAGATTTTGGAGCTTGGCTTCCCGTTTGAAATTCCAATCCAGCAGAGGCCCTGCGGACCAACGGGATGTCAGACTTCCGACTCCTAGCGGTAAGTAGCATAATCCCACCTGGATGGAATTGAATCCGTACTCGCTCTCCAGCTGCGAGGTCAGGGTGCTCAGAATGATCATGTAACCGGCATATAGCAGTGCGCCGTAGATGAGAATCAGACCACCCTCCTTTTCCAGAGCGATACGCACTGATGTCAGTGGGTTCGGGCGCGTTTTGCTCTTTTCTAAAGTTTCGTAGTCGATCCTCCTTTCTACGTTATAACTCCGGGGTCTTAGTGATTCTTTCAGCGTCGCCCACAAAGGCCGATTCCATTTGGCAGGGGGTATTGAGCCATTTCCCACCACTGCACGGCACGTCTCCGGACATGTCACGAGTATGAGGGCAAAATTGAAGCCACCCAAGATGACAAGAAACCAAAAGACCCATCTCCAGCCGAGAAAATGATCCAGGAGACCTCCAATGACGGGTCCCACGGCCGGTCCCAATGTCGTCCCCATAGTCGCATATGCGATGTATCTGCCTCGCTCGGCTCGTGTCGATATATCTGCAACCACGGCGCTTCCGATGGCGATTGTTCCGCTGCTACCAGCCGCCTGGACACATCGCAGGACCATTAACGCTGCGTAATCGGACTGTAATGCAAGGCCAATATTTGCCCCGATGTATGTGGTGAAACAGAACATGTAGGCGATCCGTCGTCCATAGACGTCCGAAAAGGATCCGGTGAAAGAGGGCGAAATTCCTTGTAGTATCTAGAAACATGTTAGACCTGTGCGGGAACAGGAACCTCTTGAAGCGGGTATGGAAAGGACTACTTACCAGATATGTCGTGATGGTTAAGTTAATCAAGGAGATAGAGACATGCATGTCATTTGCAAGGGAGGGGAGGGCTGGATAATAGATACTGGCGGATATTGGGGATATTATGCCAGAGAACGATGCTATCAGCATCACCGAGATCTTTCTGCGCTCGGAAAGAGAACAGTAGGGAGCGTCATCTTTCGCGTCAGTCTCTTTTTGGACCGGATACAGTTCGCTGTTGTTCATATTTGTCTCTTCAATCTGATCTTCCGCGCGGGGTTTGGTTTCAGCCGAGTCAATATCTTCCATTTCATTCATTGGCTGGTTGCCATGCGATATTGATCCTGTAGAGTCGATCTGCAGGTCACTCGGTCGACCAACACCACGTGGTAATGTCATGACTGGCCACTACCTCGTATTAGTGTTAATTTCAGAGGTAGCTATATCTCCATACCCTGCTGACGTTTTCTTATTAACTTCATGGGCAAGGGTTATTTAAGATCCAGGCTCTGTGCGTGTGGCAGTCCCATCCCCCGTTACCGGGCCGGCCCCGGCCAGCCAAACCAAAGCTTAGCCTACTTTAAATTATCTTACGTTTTATTCCCGACGGCTTTAAGTGATAATCTCCGAATACTAATGTGTTCACTTATTATAAATACCTCTACTGGCAACTGCAGTATGAAGTTCATACAAGAAAGATCCAGAAGACACTCTCGCCACCACGAAGAATCACACCATGTCTTGTGACGCATGTCGAACCCTACCCCCGGTGATCCCTCAAGGATACACCACCAAAGGCGCCTATAAGGAAGTTGCCGGCCTGAACACCTGCAAGTCACACACAGATCCACAAGAAAAACAAGCTCTGACCTTCCTCAGATGTTACTGGCCCACCGGATGCGTCCACGGGGCTTGTAGTCCTCTACGACATCTTTGGCATGGCCATCCAGACCCTGCAGGGGGCGGACCTTCTAGCTACAAGATTGAATTCCTTAGTCCTGGTGCCCGATTCTTCGAAGGGAATTTTGCCCAGGCCGAATGGTTCCCGACAGACACAGAAGAGAAGAAAAACGCCATCGCGAGCTTCGTCTCCAATGAGGCCTCCATCCCGAGGAACGTGGACACTCTGCTAGAGATAACTAAGCGGTACAACACGCTATTTCCGTCTGTGTCCAAATGGGCTGCACTGGGGTTATGCTGGGGTGGGAAGGCGGGTGGCTTCTTTCCGTGGGCTTAGTGAACCTTCGTAACTAACATGTATCTCTTAGGTTGCTGTTCTAGCTTCTGGACCCGGTACACCGTTCGTAGCTACTGGGCAAGTTCATCCCGGGTATGTGTGACCCCAAACCTCGGTACACAGAAAGAGAATACTGACTTGACTTTCTCACTCAAAGTCGGGCTGACAAAACGGATGCTGAGAAACTTGCAATTCCCCATATCGTACTTGCATCCAAGGATGAGCCGGCGGAGGAAATCCAAGGTTATACCGATGTCATCAGCACGAATGGTATCGGCGGCCATGTCGAGACATACAGCACCATGTGGCATGGCTGGATGGGAGCCCGTGCCAACCTGGACAGTGAAGAAAGCAATGCTGAATACAGACGAGGGTAAGAGAAAATTCAGTTTCTTTTCCAGAAGGCGACTACTGACGTCCATGGATAAGGTATACCCAGGTTGCAGACTTCTTTGAGAAGTATCTCAAGTAAATCCATGATTTAGTCCTTGACGTCTTCGTACACGATCCGTAAAAAGATCATTTGGAAGACATGTCTACTTTGCTGTCCTTTTCTCTTCTCCGATTCGCTTTGATCCTTTTAACCCCTTCTTCCTCCTAGATATGATAGCCCTAAGGACAGAAATGATGGTTTAACATCTGCAATTTATTATGGAATACAGTAAACACGTACACATTAAGGGCTTGTACTCCATAGTCCTCTAAATCGAACTGCTCACCGAACATCAGATCCTAGGAGCAAGTTGTTGGGCCATACTAACTTATATCCCACTCCCTTCTCCCAGTGTGGTGCATGGCAGTCGACCCTTGAGGTGGTGTGCAGTTCGACTAACAATGACATTGGCGAGAGTGCACATGTCCATCTATATTTGTTCCACCAGCGTATAACTATTCCCAACCATGCATCATTATCATCATCATCCATCCATCCATCCAGCTATATATGTATGATGTGATATCTAAGTATCCGAACAGTCACTCCACATACCCACAACCCACACGCAAACACACAAGATAGCCACATTAAGAACAAGATTTACTGACTCCAGGCGATATCCAATTGATGGTCTTCGTATAGAATGTAAAGATAGTTAAAAATAAAAAGGGTATTTAAATAGTAGTCTAACGTCGTGCCCGCAGAGCTAATCAGAAATATAGAGTGATGAAAAGTACATTCTTATATCGACTGCCCGTAGACCCCAACTCCCGCAAACCAACAAAAGGCGAAATCGCATCCAAGGAAAATTGGGAAAATCCAGCCCCCTATCTATCCACCATGATGGAATCCCTCTTGTTGCCAGTCGTCCCCGCTTAATTTCTGGCCGCTACCATAGCTGCTGCCAGCTCCACCAGCCATAGCAGCAGCAGCAGCACCTAAGCTTGCGCTGTGTTTCTCTATCTCCATCGTGCTCATCATGTATAACATAGTAAACAGGAGAATATGGATGGCGAAGCAATAGCCCGCAAATAGGTTCCGGCTGGTGCGATTGGCCAGGATTATTCGGGTGAGAGAGAAGACAACCCGCTCAGGGAGGCTCATGCGTTTATATGCCCGTACAGATTCACGGCCCTTGAAAGCAGCAAACGGCGAAATCTGGGCCTCGTAGGCAGATTGGTAGCGATCAAGTGACAGCCCCGATGGCGTGTCCGCAGACACATGGACGGAGGACGCGCTCGGCTTGTTTCCGTAGGCACTTGCAGAAGAGGAGCCTCCCTGGCCACGGTTGTATGTTGACACATACCGTGTCTTTTCGTACAGGCTGAGATTATCCTTCTGAAGAGAAGAAACCTCCTGTCTAAGTGACTTCACTGTGTTGTACATTTTCGAGAGCTCCTCCTCTAACTCCGCATTCTTCTTCTTGAACCGGTCTCGCTGTGCCTGAATCATCGGCAACAAACCTGAGCCGCCCCCAACAGGTTCTCCTGCTCGAATGGCATCCATAGCGTTGGAAGATCCGGAGGAATGGTCAAAGCCCGAGATGATTGATGATGTCGGCGATGTACCTCCCCGGCGAGAGGAGTAGGGGTGCCTCGATGTGTAGGTGCCAGCAACAGACATCGCAGATGATGGGAAAGCGTTCGCTGCCTCTTCCTGCACCCGGAGTAGGTCATTCTCAAGAGTAGTGGAGAGTTTCTGGGATTTTTCAAGTTCCTCCTTAGTCGTTGAGAGATCTTCACGCAGAGCCTCGAGTTGGCCCTGAAGGTCACGGTGTGATACACGTAGAATAGTGAGCTCGTCCGTGAGTTTTTTGTTTCTAGACATCAGAAGCTGCTCTAAACTGTTCTTTGCACCATCCTTGGAGGAAGTGCCATTGGGAGCGGTCGCGGCATCATCCGCCAAGTCCCGGGTATCATCGTCGTCACCGGCAGAGAATTCGATGGACTATAGATGGCTATTAGCATTCATCGGAGAGGCAGGGCATAATCACCTACTTTAATCATCTCCAACTCGCGGCGGATATCTTCATAATCTGCGGTCTTTTCCAACTTTGTTCGTAACTCATCTCTCTCAGCGGCAACCTTAGCGCTATGTCTCTCAGACTGGGATATCTTGGTCTCCCAGGAATGCCGTTCAGACTCCCTGTCAAACCGCGCTGCATCCAACTTGCGCAACAGGGAGGAATTCTCCGACTGAAGGCGAAGGTATGAGGGGTCTTCTTCAACGGATGTTGTTTGCTCTGTCTGCGAATGCGAGACAACTTGAGCCAGCTCAAGCCTCAATTGCTCATTCCGTGCTTCTACTTCCGCCAGCCTAAGACTAGTCTTTTCAAGATCGGCTGACACCAGCTCCAGTTCCGCAGCGGTTGCCCCTCCTTGTTGATGGCTATCACCACTACTCTCCTCCTGGCCTAGCCGTTGTGAAACCTCGTAGCTCGCTTTGAGATCCTTAATCAAGCGTTCTTGGTTCTCTACCTTTTCTTCCAAGCTCTTCTCCTTGGCGGTCCAATTGTTCGATTTCTCCGACAAAACGGCTGACCAAGAAGACTCAATCTCTTTGATCTTTGACTCCTGGTTATCCTCCAGCTTCTTTCTTGCACTCCGTTCTTCTTCGAGCCGTTTCTCAGCATCATCTAATTGGGAGGTAAGGCGATCCACGTTGCTCTGCAGTTGGTTCCGTTCGGAGGTTAATTTCGGCACGGTTTCTTCGGAATGAACAAGGGAGTCGACGGATGCCTCAAGGAGCGGATAAGGGTCAGGAGCCTCTGACAAGGAAGAGTATAGCTGTAAGAAAGCGTTGGAAGAGGTCTTCCCTTGGTTCGTCAAGACGTCGATAAAGCTTTGGTACGCTGGTCATGAATCCGTTAGCCCGCCAGTGCCGAGACGAGATCTGTAGGGAAAGGTACAAACCTTTCAGCAGACCCTTATATTCCGCCAGCTTGGTCGCATCATCCAACTTGCGAAAATCCTTTGTCTTCTGAGCGAGGTCCTTCCTTTGAACGAGGGCATCGCGCTGCTGAGCGACAATGTCGGAGGCAGTCGAATCTAGCTTCGCGATCGTATTGGACAGGTCAATACCTGTTGAAAGTCGACGAGTTAGTTTCGAAACTGGGTACGTCGGAATATGCCATTTTAAGTAAGGTACCTCTCCAAGCAGCAATAGCGCGTTGAAACTTGTTAGCCCCCTCGGGCAACTTTCCAATGCTGTCCTTTTCGGCATCGTGGCCATCTTGATTGTTTGAATCAGGCACAATGCCCTCCGTAAGCGCGAAAGAGTCCATCTTTGGGAGAAATTTAGAGATAATTACAAGTACATTGACTCTTGAACGACAACCCCACCAGACCAAAAGAAGAACGTCAACACCGCTTTCGAGAAGAAGAGACCCTGAGTAACAATACAGTATGCGATGCGGAGACATGCGACGCTCCGGGCGGTCCGACGATGTTCCGAACGCGTCAGCTACTGCTTTTCTTAGATTTACAATGACATGTGCATCGGGACCACGTAGTTGACAATGTTACATGTCATCGATGTCTTTTACGGGTTTATTGGTGCCGGTATAGAGTATCCTTCCATGTTATAATCGTTCCATGCGTGCTCAGTCGATCAGTTGGCACCTGCAAACATCGCTCATTTCAATTCACAATCCTCAATCGAGATTGTAGGGTATACATTTGTTCCCAAGTGTAATATTATTTTAGATCCTGAGAAGCCCATACCTGATACAGCATCTTGAGGTGTCTCCAAGCAATGTTGAATTGTATTTCAGCACTAGTGCTGTAAGGATACTAGTATTAGCGTGTGCTGTCCGCACTTGGCATGGTGCATATTAGAACTCATAACAGAGACAATAGAGTTGATAACAAGAGGCCAACAACTGCATCACCAAGTAGCTTGGATTGCGTTCTTTATTAACTACTATAGAATCGAAGCAAAGCATACTTGGTTATGGCGGAGAGAAAGTTTGATACTCGATGTAGGAACTACTTTACTGGGGGGTGCCTGAGTCAGCAAATACTAACCCCGGCTTTGGCCCACTCTTAAGCCACTTTAGGACATCACCTCCAAAGCTTCCGACGTTTCCCCTCAGAGGCCTTGCCAGGAACCATCACAAATCGTGACACCAGAGCGGGCCTCATTATGGTGTCGGAAGACGATGGCACCACTCCCCGCAAGAAGCGGAAGATCACTCCGCCGAAAGCTGTACCTTATATGCTACGACCTCTTTTCGATCGGGTACCGCTGACAGCTGACGACCCCAATGATGATGTCCATATCACCTGCGTTGAATATTGGAGTATGTCTACTTCAAGGCCACATCGCTTGGACACTTCCATTGAACGCGCTAACTGCCATTGACAGATGACAACCTCTATATCGGAACCTCCGCTGCTGAAATCTTACATTTTGTCTGCCTTCCGCCCGATCCATCGGACAACACCAACGAGCCGTCCTTCATTCTAGCCTCGAGATTGCCCATTCCGTTTTCCAAGAACACTTCAGTAACGAACAGGCAGCAAGGCATCCAGCAAATTGTTCTCCTTCCATCCGTGAACAAAGCTTGTATTCTCTGCAATGGAACGGCTACATTCTACTTGTTACCGGAGCTCAGCCCGGCATTCCGCGAGAATACGAAGGTTAACAACTGTTGTTGGATCGGGGGTCTTGACCAGAATGCATCCATAGACGAGCCGGAGAGGCCGGTTGTAATGATCGCAACGCAGAGCAAGATAATGCTCGTGCGGATTGGTGACGATGCTCGACTGGTCCGAAATATTGAGTTTCCGGGATGTTTAACAGCATCACGAAGAGGCATAATCGCCTGTGCTGCAGATAGTCGCTCATATTCCCTACTAGATGTGGAACACCAGCAAAAGATACCTCTGTTTCCAATGTCTTTCTTCGATGAAGCTTTAGCGTCTGGTCAAGTGGAAGACATGCCTCCCGCCTCATTGTCACCTAGCTCTTCTGCCGAGGCCCATGCACATGGCAGAAGTTCCAGTTTGAATACAATCGCCGGGATGCTTCAGCCGAATGCACGATCAGCTTCACAGGATCGTTCGAGCTCTGTAACACCTGAACTCTCGTCCAGTTCCGGGACACCCACCCGATCACGCTCAAAAGAACGAGGCGATAGTATTTCTCCAAGGACGTCGTCGGAGCACCCATCGCGCGATTCTCAGTCTAGTCCTCGTGAGGGTCCAAAACCGCTTCCACCATTGCCAAAGCAATCGTCGACACAATTAAAGCCACATATCCTTTCTCCGACTTCATCTGAGTTTTTGCTCGTCAGGGGCACCGATGCGACAGAACCGGGAGTTGGAATGTTTGTCAACGTGGACGGTGATGTCGTTCGCGGAACAATCACGTTTCACAAGTACCCGGAGTCGGTTGTCATTGATAAAGGCGACGAAAATAACTTAATTGGAGCACCCAACGACACCCGCGAGGATCTCATTCTTGCAGTCATAGAGGCCGACCAAGACGGAAAGTTACGCAAGTTCTTAGAGGTACAACTTTGGGATGTCGACCCCGGAAATGCAGACAACCACAAGAGCTGGGTAGAGATACCATCCGTACAAGATGCGCAGCCATCTCACGTTGGGCTTCTCCATACACTCTCCCCCAGCCAGCTCGAAGTAAGCGAGATGAGAGGCTTACTGCAGATGGTCCGCTTGAGAACCCCGTCACTATCACCACATGTACCTGCAACCGACCCGAGGACGCAGGCATCGATAGAGCAGCTACAGGAAGAAAAGGAGTTGTTCGAATCTCAGGAAGCAATGGACCCCGAAGGAACCAAAAAAGACACGCCCGACTGGGAAGCTGAGCGAAATGCCGACGAAGCTAAATTCGCGCGTCAATTGGGCAAAACCCAAAGCAGCCTCGTTTTGTGGAGTGGTAAGCAGATATGGCGGGTCGTGAAAAACCCTTTAACCATGCAACTGAATGATGCGCTTCAAAGTGCCCAGGAATCGCAAGAGGACGGCCACAGTGTATTGCGACGCGATGTGATTATGGACATTATCAAACTGGTGCAAGAAGCAGAGCCTAAGTCGGAGGCTGAGTTTCTGGGCTTGAACTACGTGAAGCAAAAATCCAGTTTACTCCTGTTCGGCGATTTGGTCTTCATGGACCCGACCATCAGGGATGGAGTGACGATCAATGCCACAGAGAAAGCACTCGTTGCCGGGGAGCTGGACCCTAGAGTGGCCTTGCTGTTGGTCCCTCTTCTGCGCCAAGAAGTTTTACAAGGACCGCAGGGCATCTGGATTCATGGGGGCCTGGCAGAGATGGCAGAGTTGTACCTTAAGCGCCTGGATAGTGTGAAAGTTTCTAAAGAACCCGACGTCTTTGATAGCGAGGTCTTGAATATGATCAAGCGTTTCTTACTTGCCTGGCAGCAAAAACGAGGATATGGCAGCATTACGGACGACGCTTACATATTCGACAGCGTCGATGCGGCCCTCCTGCATCTGCTGCTGGAACAAGATTCGAAAGTACCTACGGAACACCGCCTCTCTTCACGAACGCGCACGGAACTGAATAGGCTAGTGGATAACTGGAAGGGTAACTTTGACCGGGCAGTGGCACTTCTCGAAAAATACAAGCGACTATTTCTCCTGAGTCGCTTGTACCAGAGCCAAAAGATGTCCCGGAATGTCCTCAAGACGTGGCGGCGAATCATTGAAGGGGAGGAAGATTCCGGGTGTGAGACCACCGCTTCGGGCGTTGAGGCACAGATGCGCAGATATTTGGTCAAAATCAAAGATGCACAGCTAGTTGAAGAATATGGCACTTGGTTGGCCCAGCGAAACCCCAACCTTGGTATACAAGTCTTTGCGGACAACACCAGCAGAGTCAAATTAGACCCAGCAGACGTTGTCCGCTTGCTCAAGGAACGAGCGCCAAATGCGGTTCAAGATTACTTGGAGCACCTGGTTTTCTCAAAGAATGTTGGTTCTACCCCGTCTCCTTTTTTAACCCCCCTGTCTACTCACTCTTAAACTAGTATACCCAATACGCAGATGACCTCCTTTCATATTATCTTGATACTGTGCTCTCTGTTCTTGAGACCTCCCCTGCTGCTCGGTCGTCGCTTGCGGAATCATATTCGACTTACCGTGCATTGCAGCCGCCGAAACCAACGTATATGAACTTTATTCATGAAAACACACCCTCTGAACCTTGGTGGCAATCGCGGCTTCGGCTTCTCCAGCTGCTTGGTGGAGGCGGTAGTAGTCAATTCTCGTCGGTCCCGTCCCCTAAACTAACGTATTCCATTCCTGCTGTTCTCGCACGGATTGAACCATTCCAAAACGAACTCGTATCGGAGTCTATTATTCTCGATGGACTCCAGGGCCGTCATCGAGAAGCCCTGCACCTCCTTACACATGGCCTTGGCGACTACGACTCTGCAGTTCGATACTGTCTATTCGGCGGTCCTCGGAGTACCAGCTCGACAAACACACCGACAGAGTTCGCTGACCGGTCACAGCAGAGCGAGCTGTTCGGGTATTTGCTCGATGAGTTCCTACATATCCAGGACCCCTCGGAATGCATCGAACGAACTAGTGACCTCTTGGCACGATTTGCGTCCTGGTTCGATGTAGGCGAGGTCCTCCGGCTTGTTCCAGATACCTGGAGTGTTGATATCCTGAGCGGGTTTCTTGCGCATGTCTTCCGAGTCCTCATCTCAGAGACTCGTGAAACCCGGGTTGAGCGAGCGCTCAGTGCAAGCTTGAACCTACGGGTTGGCGCGGAGTACATCGAGGGAGTGGAGAAGGTCGGCGGTTGGGTGGAGGACGGCGAGGGACTGCGGTGCTTAAAAGAGGCCAACACCCGCGCAGCTGTGCCCGCCGACGATGGGGATGATTTCGGAGATATGGTCGAACCTCGTGGCGATGATTGATACCATGCTCTTATTGATAGTGTACATAACGACATAAATGACGACTATACTAATTCATCTCACATCACATCCAAAAGTTCATTATTTAATCCAGATCCGGCACAGGCAGTCCGTTCACCATCTTCACCTTGCGGCCCAGTTTATCCAGCGCCACCTTGGAGTTCTGTTCGCGCAAAGCGCTGGTCTCGGCATTAGAAACCAAGACAAAGTCGTATGTAAGGAGGGCATGGTCCTCCGAAACGCCATACTTCTTTGCATACTCCGGACCTGCCTTACCAAGATCCACCACCAGAGAATCCTTGACACCAAAGACGGCATCCGAAGTCTCATACGGATCATTCCGAAGATAAAGCGCCCTACCAACCATTAGCCACCCTCGCCAATTCCCGGAACCAACACAAAATAGAAAGATAGGGCATAGAACAGGAGAGAGAGAGAGAGAGAGAAACATACGTAATCAAATGATCATACCCCTCCTTCTCAAACATAAAATGCATATGACTCGGCCTAAACGGATGGCGATGCAACTTCTTCAACAACTTCCCGACCGGCCCGTCATGCGGAATCGGGTACGGCACCGGCGTAATCGCGTTAAACCAAAACACACCGGTGTCATCACTGCGCATGATACAGCGGCCATCGGGGCCGTTCCGATCCGCATACTGCACGTCATAGTGGCCCGTGGAGTCCGTCTCCCAGATATCGATCTTGACGTCGGAGATGGGGTTGCCGTGCGTGTCTTTTAGCGTGCAGACGACGAGAAGCGGCTCACCCTTGGGGTCGTGGGACATGCTGTCGCCATTGGGCATTACTTCGGCTTCGTGGGTGTGGAAGGGACCGAGGACTGTGCCTTCAGTTGAGCCGGCGGGCTTGGGGTGGTCGATCGAGTCGACGAGGATTGAAAGGCCGAGGACGTCGGAGAGGAGGATGAATTCCTTTGTTTTTCGATCATGTCAGTATCCTTGCTTCTGTTTCTGTATTCCATTTGGTTTGACTTGGGGTTTGCGGGGTATGGAAAGAAAAGTGCCAGTGACTTACCTGTCGCACATCCGAACAAATCTTCCCCACCTCCGTGAGGAACAACAACCCCGTCATCCATTCCTGGGAACTAAGTCTGGTTTCGCGGGCGAAATCATGTAAATGAGAAACCAATCGTTCGAGAATATATTTCATGCGCTCATCCTCGCACAGCGAATTCATGCGGATGACGTTTTCGGTAATATTGTCGACCGTGAGGTCCTTCATGGGTGGGATTTTAACCTGTGAGGGGTCCATTTTGTGATTCAATTCCTCGCTGCTGGAGAGTTTGTCTCACTATGATTGAGTGAAAGAAGATAAGGGTAAATAAAAACTGTCAATTGCGACCTGTGGCTCATATATACTTTATACGGAGGGGCGTATCACACCCCGCATTGGGCAGATCGGATGATGCATAAGACTTGAATAAGCAGCGGAATTGGTTCCTTCCTGGGGAATGTGTAGGTTCTCCCCGACGGATCTGCCGGTAGGCATTGCCATTGGAATTCTGGTGGATTAGCAATCTGGACGTTGCTGGTGGGTGACGGTGTGGTTTTATCGGGAATACCCCACGGATCGACGGTTGATGCATTAAGCCGTATATCCGGGGTGCATTTGGAGGTTGGATACAAGTACTCTAGAACTCGATCTACACACTACGACAAAGTAAAGGAATTGGGTTGAGCAATAGGAGACGGGTGGCAAAGGAATTATTTCTGAGTACGTAGTCTAAGAAAAACGGAACGATAGCTCCTCCCCACTTTACCTAGCATAGAAGCGTAATAGGATTGTGGGAAATATCATCCCGCAAAAGTCAACGGCTAATGGCATTGCCGATACTTGGACAACTTTCCGTGGGAGGGGGGGGAAGTAATTAGTAGCCTTATAGGCTTGTAAAACAGGCAATCTTTCAACAAATCAAGGTGCTGTAGTGTAGTGGTGATCACGTTTCGTTGTGGTAATTCCGCAATTCCGAATCGACCTGGGTTCGATTCCCAGCAGCGCCAATTGGCGTCTGATACTTGATTTGTATCTTCTTTTTTGCTTTTTGGGTTTATTTTTCTAAATGGCTGTCCTCGCTGTCTTAAAATCTACATGGTCTCTTTTTTCATCTCGTTCATAACATTTAGTCGGTGATAAATTTTACTAGGTATAGGATTGCCCGCGCAATGGTGAAAACGAGAGTGTTCATCTTGAAAAGAAACATTATCGCCAATTTTGTTCCAATGTCCTTCTCTTCCGACGGAGATATATATAGTTATCGTTGTATAGCCACACTCCCTTCCACAGATAGTGCGTACAATCGCCATCACAACATATAACAATATCACTATAAAGTATGATTAGTATAAGATGAACCCAGAATTGACATGGCCATCAGCTGACTGCCTGCTGCTTTAGATAGGCTAGTATGCCGTGGCCCTATATCTTATTGTAGATAGCATTTCGGTGGGTTGGCGCTGAGCTGGGAGCAACCTTTGCTATATCAATCCTGCAGGTGTTGAGCATCTTGACAAGCTGTTTGACTTCGTCACCGTTCCTTTATATTCTACATTCCTTGCCTTTTGAATCCCTTTGTCGATATAAGGATAGATTGGCGGCCTCTTATCATGTTTCATATGAGCAGTACGATCAAATTACTGCCTCTACTAGCTACTACAATAGTTGTTTAACCTTAACTAGTCACCACGGAATTCCACTAATACGATGCAAGACTAAATCCATAGCTGCTGCTTCGATCCTGGCCCTTCTCAGGGCGGTGGTTGCCGCCGTACATCGAGTTAAACGATGCCCTGCACGCGTCAAAAGGAACAATTTAGTTTTCTCCAAAGATACCACGACGAGCTCGGAGGTATCAGGTGCGTCACCCAGATGATCAGTAATGAAAAGGTACTGCGAACAGCAGTGATCAAAGCCCAGCTCCTCACCACTGAAAAGCTATCACAGAGTCTAGATGAATGTTTTCGCTGATTAGCTCCGGAACATAGGCCCGCTCCACGACAATTCCTTCACCAGCTTGCCAGGGGGTCGAAGGATGAGACGAACCAACAAGCCTTGTAGATCGGGTTAGTAGAGCGAAGACAAACCCTCTTCTACATCCTTCAATTGGTTGCGTTGGATTGATAATTGATAACCAACGCAATCTTATCGCCAATATGGCTCTTATCAACCAGATCGATAGCATGTTTCGAGGTGATCAGAGCAACTGGGGATTGTAGAACTTATCCACAATCGACAGTTGCGACGTATATATACCGAGCACACCCTCGCTGATCTCGGTATTGAGATCCTCGTGTAGATTTGGCGATGGAACGCTAGAGGCGGGGAGGCGATCGGAGCATTGCATCTCTCTCTCTCTCTCTCTCTCTTTTTTGTGGGAGGTGGGCTTTGAGAAAGAGAATAGTCATATAATGCTTAACGAGAACCTGTCTCTTCTTCTTTTGGCCCCGTTGACAATGGGGTTGATTATCACCGAGCCTGTTGACAGTAGGTGGGGTACTAGGAGTTAGTGTACTAATGTATAGCTTGAATTGGGGCTACGGGAGCCAGATCTGGCGCCCCGCTCCCCGTATTCTAGAACAAACTCCGTAAGCATCTTAAATTCAACAACATTAATTTGAGTGGCTGAATGAAGACATGAAAGGGATGTATAGCTCGTGCAAAACTTGCCAGAGCTCTGATATATTATATAGTAAATGCCGTGTTGTCCAAAGAATCATGCCAATCTGTTCATATATGCATCATGCCCAACAAGAGACGAACTAAACTACTGGGATATCCGCTAAAACGCTCGAAGCAGTACAAACCATGCATACATTAGATAACACCCTTATAAACCCCCACAACCATGCTACATGACATGAATTCCCCACAAAAATGCAAAGCTAAAACAGTAAGAAAAGGGAGAGAAGAAACTAAGCTTTCACCAGTTTCCGGTCTCGGTCTCGTTCTTGCTCGCGGTCACGCTCAGTCATCGGTTGCCCACCCTCTTTTGCGGCGGCTGCAGCCCGCGCATGGTGGTCAACCGTGTCGAGGATTGCCTGCATCAGCCGTTGATTGGCATCTGGGTCATCATCCTCTGCGGCTGGGTTGGTGTTGCGGTTGATACCGATATGCCTGTCATGACTTAAGGAGCCCCCCCGGATCTCACTCATCGCCCGGCGGGGCGACGGCTCCTTTCCGAGTGGAGTCCCGGCTATGGGACCCGCTGTTGGAGCGGATTCCCTGCGCACGTTGTAATCAACCTCTCGATGACGATCGATTTCAGGTACCACTACAGCTGAAGGGGGCGTGAGCGCGGAAGATATAGATGGCGCCATCGGTGCCGGTGCTGTGGTCGTCGGCAGTGACTCTTTCGGGGTCAAACTTTCTGGCCGCTCCCGTGCCATTGGATCGGGGCGTGGCTCACGATGCTCACGTGGTTCCTGTAGCTCCTCCGCTTTGACATCCTTCCAAGAACACTTGGCGTGCTTCTTCGTGCAACCCATGCATGCTGTAAGGTTCTTCAAGCAATCCATGTGGAGGCGACGACACCGATCACATGGGGGCAGTATGCGTTCGCCGCGTTGCAGCTCTTCCATGCGGGCAACCATCTCCATCTTGAACGGACCACCGTCGTCCTTCTCATGGTGGTGGGACTTGGGCGGAGGGAGCAGCGATGACGGAGTGTTGGGGATGGCGACGGTTGTTGGGGCGGGGGTGTACATATTGTACTCTGTCGCATCTGCGCCCGCGGCCGTGGCCGGGATGACTGGCGGTTTTGGGACCCGCTCCCTTCTTCATAGCTGCGAGATTGTCGGTCTTGGGTAGTGAAGAACTTCTTCATCAGTTCCGCGCGCGTTGTTGGAGATGCGCCTTTGATGGAGGTCCCGTTGATGATAGTGATATTATCTGTGTTGGAGTGCGAGAACATGAACTGTTGTGACAGCGCATTGTCTTCCGTTGTGGGTTCCCCACCGGGCCGGCCGGTGTTGACCGCAACGAAGCCGGTGGAGGGAGACTGGGTGTTCGAGTGACTGCTGCCGTTCAGCGGAAGCTGACTTCCATTGGTGTCGCGCCAAACGGGGCTGATAGAGCGATGCTGTTGCTGTTGCTGTTGCTGTTGTGGCTGCTGCTGTTGCGATTGTGATTGCGACTGCGAATGAAGAGATAGATCATTCTCCCGACGGGTGACAATCGCCGTTCTTCGGTTTTTGAGACGATGGTTGAGTTGTCTCGCTCGCGCGGACACTAGAAGAGGTGAGCGGTTAGCGCCGACAGACATAAACATCGCTTTGCATGAAGACTCACCTTGGTCTGCGACCTGGATAATTTGTTGGAGATTCTTCTCCAAAATCTCTAACGCGCCCAACTCCTTCTCCTCATCCTCAATAATCGGCTGCGGGGGAATCATTTTCTGCGGCATTCCCGATGCGATTAGCACGAAGTCTTCTTCGCTGATCTCCACCCGACACTGCTTGGTGTAGAATTGACAGACTCGCACGCCATTGCGGGTCTTCTCCAGATTGAACTGCTCTGGTTTGTTCTTGGCGAACTCCACTACGTCCAGCCAGGTGATGTTGGGGGAGTCTTTGCCGTGCGATTTGAGTACGCGGGGAGGGCCGTCGAAGAGGCGCTCAAAGCGCTTAATCAAGATGGGACCTAAAGGGCATGCGCCCAAATTCCCAGCGATACTCTCATGACGATGGAGGACACCATCATATTCACCGATCAGGTGAATGATTGCGGGCATCGTATCATCGATGGAGACCAGAGGAAGATTATCCGGATACTGACGCGCCAGGTAGTTGATCTGCAGGTGGTTTGAATGTGTCTTCGGGACTTTGGAAGCGATGGGGGGAAATCGCCGGACGGTGATCGAGGTCGCTTGCTGGACGGCTCTGCCGTCGCTGTTCTGGACTCCATGGCGGGCGGAAGAGAAAGTGAGCCGGGAAGGCGCAGAAGTCACGCAGTAGATTGAATAAATACACCAAGAAAAAAAGAAAAAGAAAAGAAAAGAAAACAACTGCGGCAATGACTCGTGGAGGATGGCGTCAGAAGCGCAAAGGGAAAATTATTAAGCGATACCAAGGCGATTGAGTAACGAGAACGTGGACGAAAGAAGTGCAGCCGATGGCGGAGGAACTCAGGCTCCAGCGTGCGGGTTGAGGTTCAGCCACTCGTGCCCGTTCAAGTTAGGTAATGACAAAGGAGGTACCCCAACAAATCTGGGGTTCAGAGAAAAAGTCGAAAAAAAAAATACAGGAAGAGAAAGTAAGAGAGGCTATGATACGCGCACCAAGATGCGGAAGAAGAGGAGAGGAGAGGGGAGGAAGAAGAGAGAGAGAGAGAGAGAGAGAGAGAGAGAGAGAGAGAGAGAGAGAGAGAGAGAGAGAGAGAGAGAGAGAGAG